CCATTAACAACTGAAGCGAAATCGCCGTGGATCATTTGAAAAAGTTTCGTGTCGGAAGTCCCCCTGTAAAATCCGCATATGGATGTTGGGAATGAAACCTCGATTTCACCTACATACGGGGAAGTGGCTTACCCCGTTTCCCCTATAGCACATCTGCTTTAGACCAGAGGTATACCGTCCACAGAAACTGCGAAAGCTTAACCATTTATATGAGAACAAAACTTAAACACACTCATTATAATAGCGAATCACAAAGTCAACAGTTTACAGAACACATCCTAAATGCATAAAAACGAATACACTCCGCGCTTCAATTACGTTCTACGGAAGAAACTCATTATTGACTTAGTGCCCTTGGCCATCTTCATTCTTTTGTTCTGATCCGAGAACTTTGTCTAAAAAGAGGAGGGACGTTCTGCATGCCTACTCGAAGGCATAGTTAAAAGAGTCACATTGGAGTCATGGAGCTCACCACTAAGGGCTTCGCGGTAGTTGAACTAGTCCATAAAGCCTTACTTGCATTGTTATGCGTCATTGTGGCGCGAAAAACTTTTGGTTTACCACAGTCTTCGGTTTGATCGATACCCCCTTCCGCCGTAGGTAACGAATCAAGACAAAGGGAAGTGAAAAGCTTATCGACAAGTTGGCGTGGGAGTTTATCGGCGACAAATTGAAAGGCCAGCCTTTTGAGAACAGAGCTATCGACGTCGCTTGATGTCAACGCATTCCCCTCTGTTGGGTCTACAAAGTCAGAGAGCATAGGCCAATCCCAAATATAGCAAGTGCAAAACTAATTTCCCATATATATTGTTGAGCACGCAACAACCATTCGGATTATTAAACCTACATCTGAAGAGCCATAAAAGAGACAATGGGTCCAAAAGTGGGGAAAATAAGACTCACTATCAACGGAGAATGCTGCATTATTGCAGTCACAGCCAGAACAACTCAGCATGTTCTCCAGATGGCGCATAAAACGACGGCTAGCGATGCTATGTGCTGCTTCGCATATGTGCTTAAAATTGTCATTCAGCCAATCCAATAACTTCTCCTCGCATAAACGAAGTACTTTTAGTCCACAAGTCACTGCATAACGAATGACTCCCATTACCAACGACATACCTTTTGATTCACAAATCTTGCTGAGTTTGTCGAACGTGGAGTCGGGAAACAAATCCGGAAAGCCGGGCGAAAGCTCAGCTCGAAGCAGTACATCAAGAGTTGTAAATTTATCCATTACAAGAAGAGAGGGAATGAAGAGGTAAATCACGTTTATGGGAGAGAGAAAACAAACATCGCCACCTAAAGTAAGTCACGTTCGATATTTATAGGCACTACATTTTGAAATCCGATCACCAAAAATGAAGGAACGGCCAGGAAGACCGATTTTTTGCAGTTCATATATGTCATCATAATCTTTTGAAAAAATAAAAACACACCTCTTCCCTATACTGTTCGTCTTAGATAATAACATCTACCTAATCTAGGATGCAAAAGACGAACACACTTTGCGTGTTTTAAAGCCGACGTTGAAGTGCCTAATTTCATAGAATACAAATATAAATCATGGAAACCTGTAGAGATAAGCAAATGCAAGTTCTTCATCTCCTGGTGCAGACCTGATGAATCTAAGCGATGAGTTCACCCAAAACTAAGCTTACTACTAGAATAAGACTAAGATCCATAACCAGCTACACTCGATCGATAACATATTTAACATTCAAATAATTGTTACGATAAAGTGAATCAATAAAACGTCACTACTAACATAATCTGACTTACTACATTAAAAAGTGTTGTTTTCATTAATAATATCGCATACATGAAATAAGAATATATGGTTAAAAAGTGCAATTATATAGGATTATAGTAATTGAATAAAAAGTATGCATTATCTATTAGAATCTTTTTAGGAAAAAATAGTTTAAGACAACGTTTGTATGTGGCTTAAATTTGATTAGTAATGGTAGCACTATTTTTAATTAGGTGTTGAATTGGTTTCTTACGCCCCTTGGCTGGATGTGGGCTCTATGTCTTATTTGCCTATGGCTTGGTCCGTTTGCGGTTGCATTTCCTGAGATTGGCCACTGGGAAGAGGACAAGCTTCTGGTATTGCATTGCAATAACTCTTCATGTAGCGGTATATGTAGGGTGAAAGTTTTGTTTTTCCTAAGTCCGTCCTGGATGACACTTCTTTCAGTGTTCAAGGCAATTGCATTTGTTTTTTAAGTATTTAGTAACGTGCTCGAAGGCAGCGACTGTACGGCTTGTTGCTACTGTTCTCTGGTCAGAATGTGCAGATGCCTTTGCTTATGTCAAACAAGTTTGTTTCATCAATTCTGCCTATTTACCCTCGCTAGAGCCAAAATGCTTCCGTACTTTCAATGCTAGTTGCACCTGGTATAAAAACAGAGTCTATTGGGCAAGAGGAGAAGCGTTTTCAATGTTCACCCTTGAAACCGATGGTAGTTTTCATATCCAAATTTCGCTAAATTTTGACTGTGTATTATTTGACTTATTTTAGACTGTATCCATGAAAATTGCCAGATCTGGTCCTCAAATGATTGCTGTGTTGGTAAAGTGCGACGTAGGCTCTACTTGTGACAGTGGCGTTTATGGTACGTCGTAATTGTACAAAATCCACCATGTTTTCCACTAGTTCACTTAATTGCGGATATCAAGGGTAACTACGGATACCTCTCGGGGATCGAATACCCTCTCAGAACAGTACTTTCGTCCTTTTGCGTTCAACTTTTCTGCTTTTTAGTTTTACGGTGTTTTAGCTTTGGCCCATGCTCTCCTGGCACTGCTATGGTTATGCTTTATATTCTTTCACTGGAAAGACCTTTTACGAATTCAATACTACATTACTTTGATGGTATTCATCGGTCTTGTGGAACAGATCACACTATACGCACTATACGAATCGCTAAATCGAACGGGTGTTGCACTTAAAAGTGCTCTTATTTTCGCCCTAATTGTCAGTTGTGTGAAACGCACTCTGGCGCGCTTTCTCCTTCTCATTGTTTGCGTTGGGTCAGTCATTCGTTAGCTTAGCCTTTCAATTCTATCCTATGGTTTCAAATATTTTCCTGCCTTTCTAGTTTGTTCTGCAAACTACCGATTCTGATTTTTTCAGTCGTTGTCTCCTGCATAGGCTTTTTGCCTTCTTTGTTATTCACTTCAGTACCAGTCCTGCTTTTACTTATCAATATTCCCATCTTTTTATTATTGTTCTTTTCGATCCTGGACTTCTTTATTCCTTTATATTTGTCCTATTTCTTTCCTTTACCTACATCTTTCTCTTATTTTCGAACTGATGCTCTTACTTTTTATTCCTTTTCCTTGTTTAGAGATTTTATTCGTTGTCCATTTTTATTTCTTCCTTTCCCTCTATCAGCCTATGAAATCGCTTATTTTACTCCATTGCTGCCTTCCTCATCACTTCTAACGCATTCTTTTCCGATTTCTTCCTAACTGAACTCCTTGTCAAGACCGAATCTTCCCATTTTACTTGCTTTCTAACAGGTACGGCATCACAAAATCGCGATTGGGCACAGCTTATCGTCGAATTGTGTGGATCTGTATCGTCTATCTAGTCTGCTCCCTCTTCGACAGCGGTCTACGTGCCTTCCATCCACGATTCAAGCCTTCTCTTGCCGTCCTCATCGGCGGCCTACCCATGATTGCAGTTGATCTCGCCATCCTCTGGTGGAGCTTCTCCTATCTTGTTAGTACCCTGCGTGAGACTCGGATGCGGCGCAACAAGGTCAAGTATCGTCTCTATCGCATCTTTTCTGCACTTCTTATTGCTGTGGCTGTCGGTGAGTCCTTTTCCTTTTATCCGAATGAAAGAACTTAGGCTTGAAACATTATTTAGCTGTGGCTCTTATTTGTATAAACGGCAACTGTTTTGCTCCACCTCCCACTCCAACCTACTCGGTCGAGTGGGTATCCGTCACGTGGCTCCTATCTTAACTATATTATTGCATCCTGTTTGTTGTTGTTGTTGTTTTTTCGTTTTACAGTCTCAGTTCTTTGCATGTGTGTGTCAATCTTTCTGCTGCATTGGAAACCTTGTACAAGAGTGAGTTTAATTTTTGCTTTCCATTTCTAATTAGCTCAAGCAAACAGATATTCCGAATTCTCACTCCATTAATTTTATTGCGTAACTAACTGAAAGTCAGTAGGTTATTACTGATCAATTTTTGCCAATAAGTGATTAATTTTGGGTTCTTCTGACCTACAAGAAGTGGTGGGAAAAGGATGCCGCTAACTCAGTGTGCTGGGAGAAATTATAGGTAAAGACTACCTCGGTTGGATTTTTTTGTAATGCGTTCTTCTCTGGGTATTTGCTGAGCCTGATTAACTCAAATGAGGCACCACTGGAATGCAATTAACAGTATCAGAAGGGATTTGATTTGGGCATATATTACGTGACACGTCTCGTCGAAAACGATGTCTTCGCAAACCGTTTAGTATTAAGCGGTTGAGTTGATGGCAAACCCTTCCTCCCCACAGGTAATAGAAGTTACTCATTGCTAGCCGACCATGGAAGAGGCAATACTTGTTATTTTGGGCCGGTAAGAAAGGATCTTAGCTGAGAAGTAGGAACGATGACGAGGAAAACTTCTTAGTGAGGAAAGATAAGAGAAGTTTTCCGTTAAGGGGGACAAAGCGTAGAGAGGCTTAGATGTGCAGGGAAATCATAATAAAACAAGTTTTTAGAGAAATGGCATGAAACTGATTGCTGCTACCTCTTTCCAGGCATGGCGATATATTTGGTTCGATGAGACTTTCTGGCAGCTGCTTTTCTTTATCGTCCTTCTCACTATCGTCGTTCTCTGGCGCCCTAGCAGTACTAATAAACTGTATGCACGCAGTGCCTTCCTCGATCCCGACGTCGAACCGCCACCCGAGGATCTGGAGGAACGCCTTCTTGATGCTATTGTCTCTGGTGCGTTACTTTGATTCCCTCAATACTGATGTACTTTGCCTTCTTTCGCCGTACATGTCAGTTTAATGAAGGGATCTTTTGTTTGTTTACTGCTATTTCGATTTTGCCTGGAATGCCTTTGGCATTGGTGGAGGAGACGCACCCTATTACTGGGATTCTACTGTCGAAAATTACTGCAAAGCACGGTAAAGTGCGCACTATCGACACGTCATCCTTCACCGCCATTAAGTCTTATCGGCCTTGCACTCCATAACGTCACTTACTCCGGGTGAATTGGTTGGCATCAACGCGAGTCCACTGAGTTTAGAAGTGGACTTGCGTTATGATTTCGGTGTGAACCATCTATCTGCTACGCCTGACCTGGTTCAAACCCCAACGATAGTAAGGCTTCTTGCTCTTGTTGAGGTTAGTGTTGGGCATGGGTTGGCATCTCAAGTGACGGCTGTCACTCTGAAACAAAAATTTCGCTCTTCTCAAAAACTTCTCTCTTCAATGTCTCCAGTTGAATAATTGTTTTCTCTAGCAACCACAACAATTAAGTCAATGTCCTGACAACCTTTAATCGTGTAATAAGACTATCACCCACAGAGGGACAGCTGGACTGGTACTGGAAACACGATAGCAATTTGCAGACATCCCTTGGGTACCGGAATGGGGCTTTGATGACACAAGATTAAGAAAGTCCACATGGATTTCGGAGGGACTGCCTTCTTTCTTGTCTCATTAGCAGTTTGTTAATGTGCTGCCATATTCTCTTCAATCTCATGAAAAGAGGTGGTGGACAACCCATTTTCCAGGCATGTGAAGGTATTTTACCGGTTAGGTGTGCTTACGTTCTCCACTTTTTTTGGATTTCAGGCATAAACGATGATTCTTCAGAGGGTGGAAAGAAGGGCAACACAAATGTGGCTTTTGAGGTAATTCTTCGCTTCCGTTCTGAGCCTCACGTCAAATTAGTCAGTGGTGTCTTGCTATCCCACTTTCCTTTTTCCACCACACTAGGACGACGCATTGCGCTGGGCTGAAGAGAACATTCCCTCCTCGCAACCAAACCGGTAAGTGTTTCCTCGTCGTGTTAGCCGCTGGGTTGTTTGGTATTAAATCACTTACATTTTGTCCTCTTTTCCCTTCCCTCCTTCATCGGCGCAGGAATGAGACGGCCAAACAGACGGGTCAGGGCAGTCATTCCTCTTCGGGTACTCAACTTAAGCTTGACTAGCACTTCGCACCCACTTCATTTCTCACCATCATCATCATCATCATCACCGGAATTGTCTTCTCATTTTTTGTCACTTCACATCTTTATGAATTCCCATTTTAAGCTGCTGCTGACTTTAATTATGGTGTGGAGGCGCCTTTTTTGGTTGACAAGAGGAGAGTACTGACTGTAAAACAATTATTTTGCAATTCTGCGACCTTACTGTTTTCTTTAAACTCGGCAAAATTTGCATTTACTTTGCCTGTTTTACTGCGGGGAAGGTGTGTGTTGTGCCGTCAAGGCATGTTCAAGCATGTTCTGTGTGGAGGGCACATCTCATTGCACTACTCCATTATACGTGCAACCAAGGCGTTTTTTGGCCTCAGCAGTGCTGTAAAATGCATCAGCCATCCTGAACTAGGGGGAGAAGCAGCGTTACTGAGTTTCTCATCATTGAAGTGCGTGCCACCGTATTGTGCGTTGATCTTGAAAATGTCTTCCACCCCCATTCTGTCAGATAGTGGCGCCCATTCCGTATGGTACGCCATTAATGCAGAGGTCTTTGGTAAGCTTCCATGACGAATCTGCCGGAAGAGGAGGGGAGCGTGGGACGATGGTTTCATCTGCGCCTTAGGGGAAGCTCAAGTGGTTTGTAGCCTTGAAAAGCATCTCCGAGGTTAGGGTGTTAGCAGTAGATAGCAGTGACGCCTTCACCTGTTGCAGTCTATAACTTGAGTCATTAACTTGCCCCGAATTCGAAGAGCCTTTTGAGGGTTCGGGTTTATTCCTTCTACCTTTTGTCATTAATACTACACTATTCTTTGCTTTGAAGGGCATGCTACGAGAGTGCAATGCGGCCTATGTGATTGACAAGTTTGATGTCGGTTGGCATTCTCTTCAATTTTAACCTTAAATCTTGTTCAGCCTGTAGCACTGGATAGCTTCTTCTAGAGTGCATCAGGTATTGCATTGATAGTGGAAGTCGTTTGAGGGGTTGGGAGACATTTGGACTTCGTGCTATCAAAAAGCAACAAACATTTGGTGGTCACGTGTTACTCAAAATTTTATCAGTAACATGAGCACGAAGCACTGAGTTGTGTCCCGCTTAAATATTTTCTATACTACTTTTATGTATAACAGTAGAATTATTAGCAGCATGTGAATGAAATATGTAGTCAACGGGGTGGAAAACGATCGCCCTGAAATGATCGTACCTACTGACCTGACGGTGGATGGGGCAGACCCACCAATCAGAAGACTGTCCTGATAGGTCACGTAGTGATTGAGCGCACAGGTGTTGGCTCCACTTATCCGACGCCATCGAGTGGCATCCTACGTTGACAAACCGAGGAAACCATTTAAAATAGCTCGCTTCTTTAGGCTAAGCAAAGGCTTTGTTTGGTAGATTCCGCTCTGATCTCAAAGTGGCATGCATTGCGCCATACACTCAGTGAGGCGCTTCACTGCTGCTCCTCGTTAGCTTCGCAGCACTGCAGTTCTCCTTGAAGGGGGTGGAGTGGGTGTGGAATCTGAGATCCACTAATATCACTGGGAATGCGTGGAAGTAGAAACAGCTCTCCATTATGTTAAGTGGCGACGTAAATCTTTTAGGAGGTGAGGGCTTCAAGCAATTTCCACTTTGTCATGCTATTACAGTCACGCCTCTGGACGGTCTTCTCAACGTGATTCTTTTCATCAGGTGTGTTCATATTATTACTCGGTTGTTTAGGTTAAGTTTCACGAATTCTGCTACAAGTCTCCCTCTCAACGTTGAAGAGGTACTTTGGCTGAAGAATGGACAAACTATACTTTTGTTTCATTCTGAACAGCCTATGATCGACGGCAAAGCTGTGTTGTCATTCACGACAACAAAAGGGTGCAAACATTAACAAAGAAGAGACCAAGCACGAGACAGAATCCGATCGTGATATTGTGTGTGTATACAATCAGAGGCAAAAGTCCACTCCCCGATGAGGAGTAGATCTGCTTCTTTCTCCTTCTATACAAAGTTAAACAGGCAGCGGCTGCCTGGCTGCAGACGTCAAAGAGGATTACACGTGAGTTACGTTGTACTACGCATATTTTGTTGTCACAAAAACGACTTCAAGTTTGCCTACGTTTAGTTGTGATGGTCATCGGACTCCGTCCAATTTATGCCAACTGCTATCGTAGGCCCAAATATTTGAAACCCCAGTCATCACACGGCGGAAACATTGCGGTGCGCGCTGCCACTTGCTAGGGCAAAATTTATAACAACGGAACGTAAAGAATTGCAGCTTTATCAGGGCATTCAAATCCATTTAATGCTCCCATTTAAATAGAGGATACGGCCTGTAGCAGTGTTCAAGAGCAAGGAGGTTTTTGAGTTCCGTCTTTCCGAAAAAACAGTAACTGTAGTAGGCATTCAGACCAATCGGTGCACAAAAAATGAACCCATGAGGGGAGAGTCTAAGCCCGGAGACACTGCCGAAAGACTAGCAACTACCTTGGTAAAAGTGACAAACCACCGACAACCACTGCGCTGCCAAATATGAAAGAGCCCTACTCTTACCGACATTGACCAGTGATGGGTCCGTTTGAAATTCGTTCTTACAACCAGCCAATCACAACAGGAAACCTCGGCACAAGCTCCGACTTTCCCTTCATTCATTCCCAGCCTAAGATGCTCTTCCGAAGCGCCAACTAGTAGAAGGCGCATTAATCTACAAAAGACAGTCCATGTTTCGACTAGAGGGCGAATGTGCGGGTGAAGGAGCGTGCACATGACGACCATCGAGTGACGTAGCCTCTAAGGCCTCTATTCAAAGCAGCATTGCATTACCAACGCTGCTTCATGGGGATGATTCAACGTCGTTAAGGTGTGGACACCCCGTTGGCGTGAGGGCAGTTGTTTGCTGAGCCCAACTGCAGTCCTGGGTATTGCGGTTAAGCATATTTGCCACACCATAGCACAACTTTTCGTTCGACTGCTTAAGCACCATTACCGCTGCAACACTGCATTTTTGCCCGTTCTAAAATAACGCGTTGTCCGCCCACAACGGCTGCATTTGCGGGTTTTTTTCTTCTTTTTTTGAGTGAGGCGCAGACCGACCATGTTGGCGGAGAGGAAACAAGAAGGGATCAACTTTATTCAAACCTTCTTACTTGTTGTCAGACAAAAGCAACCTCATTTAGCACATTTTACTGCCTAAATGGAGGAGGGATGTTGGTAGTTCTCTGCCTCTTTTTAAACTAAAACACAAACGAATAAAATCGAAAGTCTGCTCGAATGACTGCCAATTCAATTTACCTGTTGCCCTTCCCGTCCGAGGGAATCGGTTCCACTGACGTCAAACGTGGGAGATGAGTTTGTTGCAAAAGCGTTTGGATCTATAAACGACATAGAGAATGCAAGTAAAAGTCATGAACGTAAGTCGCTTCCCTGTCACTTCCCGCTTTTCAACGGCGTTTTAAGCGTTGGTCGCATAGGAGAACAGCCAAACAGCCAATTAGTGCAGCTCCGACAATATCGCCTTCACTTTCAATGCCAACGCGCAAAGCACCCGATTTCTACCCGACTATACAATTGCATAAAACAAATATTTGGCATCCGTTCGTGCTCACTTGTTCGTTTCTTTGATTGATCACACATTTCTGTCCCTCGCTTGTTTGTTCACTTTGAAGTCAAGTCTCCGAATGGATGCTGGTGGTTCCACCCTTCGGAGCGTGAGGAATGTGGCTGGGCTGGACCCACCGCTCTCGCTAAAGCCCCTCACTAGGCGCATTAACGAGTACTGCAAGTCACGATTGTACTTGTGTCTGCTTAACTCATGTCACAGTGGCTACAGACAGTTCCTACTTTTCATTAGGCGTTGTCTTTATCTTTCGCCTCGACCATTGCCTGGTAAAGCATTTGAAGGTCTGAAATGACAGCTATCAAGATTTTGCTCTCAAAAAGCCACTAGCTTTTGGTTCACTTTTAATCACTGATATTAACTGATCAAGTTTCGAGCTACTCATGTTTGGGTAGAGTTCCGAAAATGAGACCAACTTCTGCACCGGAAGGATTCAATGAAATTCGCTACATGCATCCAAAATCGCATCTCATCGCATGTCGACTGTACAACCAAAATAACTTGGTTACTGTACTCCACAAAAAGCCGAAGAAGTCGAAGTGTTCATTGATTTGTACACGGTGGGGATGAAATGCCTTTCCCTCGCCCCCGCTTGCCACGATAGACCGAGGGTTCATCTGCTCAGAAGCGGACTGCAGCCTCCCACAAATCGTTAGCTGGAATGCGTCTCTGTCAGCGGTCTGAATGTCCGGCCTCCCATTGGGTGTGAGCGTCTGAAGACTGGGAGGGTAAAAAGAAGGTTTGACCATTGGTCCTCAACCACGGTGGCGACACAGCTAAAACAAGTATTGAAAATGGCTCAACTGCCATCTGAGGAGGAGTTCGTAGGGAAGGAAATGACAGCGCGTCACCTAAAGACAGGAATTAGTAAATCCAAATGATCATCAATTTTTGAAACAAGGTTAGAATTCAGAGAGAAAGAAAAGATTGACGCAAAGTTTCCAGACTTGGGTTACTTCTACTACGTTCGGACTGCATTTCCCAGTGGGCGGACTCCTCAATCTCCCCCAAAACTTCTATCCCCCCAGCTTGGAATAATGAAGATCTTGCTTACCTTCAGGCTATTCAAATACCATCGAACTCAGACGCACCGAGACCTCAGTGCTGACACGTATGAGCTTCTCCAACTGCCAAGCCTTATAAGGAGGAAGACAACAACAGTGCATCAACAACAAGGGGACACTAAAGTTGCTGCATTAGGGATGTGCAAAACTGAGGCCAGGATGGGACCGTGGCATGGCAGCAACAAACATACACAGACACGCACACGTCCGCCACCCATTAACGAATACTCAGCAAATTAATAAATTACTTCAACATGCATGAAGCAAAGTTTCAGATGAACTGATATTCACTTTTAATGACGAACTGGCCTAGAACAAGTTCTTTGCCTCCTTTAATGGTGATACGAATCCTTGCTAGAGCTCACTCCGACCTTCCAATCTTCTCCTGTGCTATCACGTTGACAAACATGACACGAGGGATGGAAGGAGGCGAAAGTGATGAACCTGTCAGTGCATCAAATAGTCAAGCATTTATGCTGTCCAGAACGGTGTTTACGCATTTTTTTTATTGAGAAAACTTTAATTCATGCCACTATACTGCAATCTCGGGCCGTTTCAAAGTCCACATCACGGATGAACAGCAGACGGGTAGGAAATTAATGAGGCTCAATAGGACGTGGCTAACACTAAGCAAAATAGTAGCAGTAATAGCAGCCGACGAGCGTCAGAAAAAGTTGAGGTAAGGAAGGATGAAATATGTTTGTAAGAGATGAACGCAGCAAGACAACACTCACTCACATTCACACACACGCACACACACAGAGGGGAGGGAGGAAGGAAACGTTTTCTGCTGTTGGCTAACAGAAGGGAGTGGGGAAAAGGGATCGAGTTTTGAGCCGTCGAGCAGTTAGTCCAGAAGGATCTCAAATTTGACTGGTTCTGGATCCACATTTGCGGCGCCGAGGAGACGACACTGAACGAGGATAAGGATGTGTTTCTCCAATTTCTCAAACTGCACTGCTACCAATGGCGATGTATAACCATTCTGGCCCAGGAATGGGAAGTATTGGTTGTTAAACACACCACTAAATGGATCCACAAAATAAAATAATACGTTCAATGCATTCAAAAAGTTTGCACATAAAACAAACTAGAGAAGCGAATCATCATAACTACAACGCTTTCAAAAACTAATAGAATCATCGAATACTTAATTGTACAAGCATTAATTTTGCTTTCCCTATACACGTACGTCAACGAAATGATTAATTCTCAAAGCGTTTAATCAAATCAAACAGTACAATACTGAACATTAAGAGATTCTTTACTTCTTCACTAATTAAAAGTACGTCTTAAGTGGATAACTCACTATTCCGTGTTGTTCTTATTGATCGCCGGGTAGAATCTCATTGGCCCAATGTTCACCTGATCCTCAGGGTTCTTAAAATACGAAATATAATGATGTTGTGCCATAAGATAGACGTAACTGACACTAAAGGAGAGCCCTAACCTGCCCTTCACAAGTGACCAAAGTGTGCGGAAATGTTGTGTCATTAACATCTGGCATCCAGCCATAGATCTAGAAAGGAAACACAAAACTGACGCCATCTAAAACGGTATTGACTGACAAATACGCAGATGCCTACGCGATTCAGCTTAAGAATGACACAAGGCTTATCATCAGGATAGCCATAGTTGTTGGACTTGTTACAGGGTCCAAGGGACGTCAAATCAAAGCGACATACTTTCGTCGGCTCATTAGGCGACTTCAAACCTGTGCAATCGGCAAAACCAGTCGATGGTTTCTCATTTATTGCCTCGTAGTATGATATCAAGGCGTTCAAGTTGTCTACATATTCGTAGTAAACTTGAGGATCTCTGCTTGAGTAATAAATAAGGGTTTTATCCTCATCAATGATAGGTCTCATACCAAGACCTGCAAAAAAGATTACATTTTCTACCATTCATCAGACCTGGTTGGAATCTGAGAAGGCTCTGGTGCCCAGTTCGCATTGGAACTTTAGCAGGGACAATGAATTGCAGAAAGACCATTATCATCCCCAAGAAGAATCCAAAGAGGATCGCATAAAAGAAACAATAGTATACAAATATTTTTGCTAAAAATTAAGAGAGTTTAGTGATAGGAAGACACAAACCCCAGGATGCGCAAGTCCGACCAAGAAATGATTTATCTTTTTTGTTGTAAAGCCAAGTCGGGCACCGACTAGGCGGTATGTAAGAGAGGGTAGACAAATTATCCGAAAAATCTTGTATGGACATTTTGAAGTCCTATTGTGAATTCCGTATCAGATTTCAAAAAATAATCCTGGAAATGGTCGACCCTAAGTTGTTCAAAATAAAAAAAGAAAATAAGGAAATGTTAACAATACAGAGGAGATACATAGAAATGCAAAAGAAACAAAAGTGATATAGGTACTGTGGTGTTGGCATATCAAAACTCATCATACCACCCGAGCCCACCGAATAGCTTAACCAAAAATTTAAAAAATGTCTTCTGCCAATGCCGTACATGGCCATTTAGTAAATGAATTAAAACATGTTTTTTCTATTCTATGTGCAGAAAACAGCCTTCTTATATCATGCAAAAGCATTTTTAAAGTATAAATAAACCTTTTTAATGCTAACCTACCTTTGATTTTTGTACTTTTATGGCATGCAAAAATAATAAAAAATTATTGTAAAATTATGTCAAATTGTTTTTGCAAAAAATTATTTAATTTCTATAAAGAACATTGAATTAAATTGTCTTTTTGTGACGGGTTTTGCTGGTTCTATTTCAATATTTAATGCAATAGTAAGGAATAAATAAAAAATAAACAACTCGCAAGACAAGACATTGAGTTATGTATATAAGTAAAAATAAATTTTTCGATTGTTTGTATTTACTGTTATTCCTCCCCTTTTTTAAACAGTCTGTCTGCTCAGTAGTTTATGTACGCAGTCACGTTTTGCGGTTGCTTTGGTTTCATTTCCAGGTATAATGTCAGACACTGAGTCAGATTCTGTAAGCTATGGGGATATATGTAATTATTACTGCACATAGGATCTGCAGGAGCTTTTATGCGCTCCGGGAGTGTACAAAGAAATCAAATTTCCTAAGTCGTCGATTAATAACAAGGTAGGTTGCTATTCGTATATTTTGCATTACTATGGTTAAATTGTCGACTGATTTCACGCAGTCGTCGATTTGAGTGTACGATTTTGCATGTTACCTTGTTCTTACTAATTCTTTACACTTAGCCCTTACTGAAGAATGTTCTGCGGCAGATAAGCAAATCATTCCCTTGGATTGAACGCCTCGATATTGTGACGGAACCGGCTTTGCCTCCGAAGGATACAGATCTTGAAAACGATTTCAATAAGATCGATCCTAATGACGATTTCAAGCGGGAGGCGCTCTTGTTAGTTCAGTCATGTGCTGACACGTTTTGCTCTTTTTGTCATGTTGGTCGGTCACTGTTGACTGTGTTGTCTTTAGCTATCGTGTCGCTCAGGCTGCCGTATTGAAGGCAATTCCTCGTCTACATGAGCTTGGAATTCCAACAAAGAGGCCAAGTGACTATTTTGCAGAGATGATTAAATCAGACGCCCATATGGCCAAGGTTGTAATGATGTTCTTTTTTTCTTGAGCATTAATGTATTAGTTTTTGATAAGGTAAGTTGAAATTTTAGGTGCGAGAACAGATTGTGGTGAACAAGAAGCGTTTGGAAATGCGAGAGAGGGCAAGACAGCTTCGTGAACAGCGCAAATTCGGTAAACAACAGCAGAAGGAGATTTTAGAAGCACGGCGTTTAGAGAAGAAGAAGCACATGGAGGCTCTCAAAGCTGCTAAAAAGCGGCCGGGTAAGTTCACGTACTTTTAACTTTCACCCTGTTTTCGAATGAATAATTGGAGAAAGATTTGTGATCGTGGAGGAAACAAAGACTGCACTATTGTGTTTTATTTATCCACGAAATTATTATCTAGTCATTGTTAATATCGATTATTCCTGAACATTTTTGCATCCCAATCTTTTTCAAACCCCATTAATATAAGATACTAGGAATAAAAATGTTCGAAAATGCCCGATTTTCAGTAATTAAACTGACAATTGATTTGTTACTGTTTCTTTAGGTGGCAAAGAGCAGGCGCAGGTGTTGGAGGAACTTTTGCAGAGTGGCTCAAAGCAATCAAAGGGCAAACATTCACATGATGGGGGTGGGAAGAACCAGGACCGCAAGTACTTCCGACCTTCGGAATATGCCAAACGCCGAAAGTACGTCATATTCCTATGTAACTTTGGAACTCCTTCTTGCTGAGCAGTCTCCATATGGGAAAGCAAGTTGCAATGAGCTTTTTCTATTTGTCATAGAATAAACTATAGGCGAGCATACAAGAACCAGAAGTACGGATTCGGCGGCCAAAAGAAGCGTTCGAAGCGCAACGATGCCCAATCAATTTGCACTACCTCCAACGATGGAGTGAGTGTTCTCACACACACCGCCTCTGCTTCAAGGATAAAATTGTTGAATAGGCGGATGCAAAAGACTCGTCGGCTCAATGCTCAGCGCCAGCGGAAGAGGATGTCAGCCACTAAAATCTAGTTGACGTCGGTGATTGTAGCAGCGTACCTGTGCGAGGACCCTCACCTGCAAGTGTAATATACGTAGACTTTCGTTGCATATTTTTGACATTTCTTTCGCAATGAATTGTTCGTCTGAAATGGGTAGCACAATTTAGCCACGGAGCAGTAGATTGTCGAATCTTAGCTGCGAAGAAGTAGCAGTAGTAGTGTGTGTAACTTAGCAGTGTCAGCTTTGCCGCAGTACATTACCATCCGCTATGAAACCCATCAAGGAGGTTCGGTGACACTTCAAGGTAATAAATGAAAAGGAAACCTTTCTTTCCGCTAATGAATAGGAGTTGGAGGGGGTAAAGGTATTGTACTTACCTACGCTCAAACGCCGCCACAAGTTAAGGTCTTTGATAAAGCAGTTCGTTTGCGTTAACCTGAAAAAGTAATGCAAAAAACACTTTCGAAGAGGTCAGGAGGAGCACTAATGTGGAATCGACGCTGTCCTGAGCGCACTATCTGGTTAGGATCTTGATAGACAAGCATACTTTAAATGAAACGACGAGATGGTGCCCCTTCGTCCCTCCAAGTTGCTCGAATGAGGTAAGGGGAGTTTGGCCTTACTCTGATACCAGAACTAGATAACTGATAATCTTCTTTCATCTGCTCGTCTCCCAAGTCGCGACGCAAACCTTCCCTTCTTTTACCCACGTCTCCAGTGCTCCTATTGATGGACATCTCGCACCAACTAACACTATAATTGGTGCCGGAATATAGCACTCATGATTCAGGCACGCCACTTACCCTCTCCAACGTAGATGAGAAGAGATACTTGACCTCGACATCACAGATCCCTTCTATAGTCTTTGAATGGATCCGTACTTTGGCAACAAAACAGGAGTCAGAGGAGAAAGAGATAAGACGGGCCGGAGCGGAACCTAAACAAATAACAATAAAAGGTCGCCGAAATTGGGGCTCCAAGATTGAGCAATCAAACAAATATGATCAAAATAAAACAGAGATTTTCTATCATCTTTCACTATTACCAATTTTGCTTTAAATTTAAGTCCATATTGCAATAGGAATATTGTGTGGTGCAAATCCGAGTCTGCCGTTAAGACACTTGACTTCGGGCAAATAATCTGAGCTATTTCTGGGCAAAATGGCTGCAGCTTCCCGGGACTTGCCGCCAGGTAGAAATAACATTGGTTTGGGATGACTGTATGTATTCTATGAACAAAACAGCCGGTATAGGAAGTAAGTAATGCGACTGGATGCATGTATTCCGAAGACGACAGGGCAAATGGGTCTGGGCATGGTCTGAAGGCCATTCCAAGTGTACAAGTGCCAGATGAACCACAAAGTGACTGCCAAACGTCAGACAATTGCATAAACAAAGTATTTCGCTACCCCTCTCTTCTTTTAAGCAGTGGCTACTGTAAGCCTTGTTTATGTGACCACCTAATGTCTGGCAGTTACTTTGTAACCCTTTTGTCCATGCGCACATGGGCAGGTCCATGGGAAAAGCTGAGGCTTAAATGCTTTTATTTCACAGAATAATACTTGTATTTAGGCCAACTTGATGCCTATTTCGACCGAGTGGCTAGTGTTGATGTTTACATTAATGGCAGCGGAAAGCGAACGCTTGTGATATATATACCTACGCTGTGTAGGAGGCGAATTTCCATAAGTGGTGAGACAACCCCTATATACTTTATAACAAAAGTTCAATATTGATTTCTGACAGACGAAATATTAAAAACTGGAGTAGCACAGACATGAACCAGTCCAAAAAGTTTTGTGTCGGGAATGACACTAGGGATCTCCTTGTAGTAATTTGTTCACGTGACTCTCTGATGTCTGGCGGTTACTTAAAGATTGTTCTGGTCTCTGTACGGGTAGGCTGACCTTCGGGCCACGTCCAGGCCCAATCCCTTTGCTCCTTCCTGAATGTATTTATTCCGCTCCACTTTGTTTTCTTCTACTTGGTGGGAAGTCTCCGAACGCTACACTCCCTAGGTACGGGACTCTGTCTATCCCCAATTTCCTTATAATACATCAGTTTTGGACCTGTTTCAGCTTTAAAAGCGCCTAATGTTCAATAGATATATGCGAAATGAATGCAGCTGTCAGACCGAACGTAACGATAGGTCCATTTGAAGACATCGCCGAGGAGACCAGATACCGTTCCTCTGTCACGTGGTAGTTGATGACTGGTGTGGCTGGCTTGTGGTTGTTTTCAAGCAATGTGGTGGATGGTGTGGAAAGTCTAAGAGAGGGGTGTCGAGGGAATAAGTGAAAAGAAAATAGTGACACTCTAATACTTTATTTATATGATCGCCTGATTTTTGTCGGTTGCTTATGTATTCATCCGGTTCTTGTAGGCATGGGCTGGTCTTCGGGTCATACCCAGGATTAATTCCTTCGCTCTCCCTAGAATACATGTATTAGGCCAAAACCACTGCCTTGTATCTGGCTGGAAGTCTTTGGACACTTCAGTGAATACTTGATGTTCGACTGGGCTTGTACGCATGGAATTGTCAATGAACAAAGACAAAGTTCGGTCACTACTTATCGCTTTTCCCTATTTCTGCCAATTTAATGACATCTACCTAAAGATAGGCTTCGTGTCGCAGTAATTACAAATTATTTTTCCAGAGGAATTTCCAGCAACAACTTGTGTAACAATTGTGGGTGACTTGTAAACAACAGCTATGTGGCCATTAAAATCGATGCTTATAATACCATCATATAGTACGCGTTTTACGGCTTTATGCTTTAACCTTGAAACTGTAACTAAGACACCAAATAAATAACCGTGTTTAAATCTTAAAAGGTTTATAATGGCATTACCATTTTTACCAGGAAATGTGTTTAACAACAGGGTATGCAGTTCATAAATTAAAATGCAATTGTAGATTGGCAAGGAGAAATTTCACAAGTCCCATTACTTTGACAAAAGCGTGGGTGCAGTTGATTTTTGTTATGATAACAAACCGGGAATTGGCGGTGAGCCATTACCAGGTCAGAGGGTTGAACCACCCAAAAGCAAGTTTCCCAATGACTGTGGATCAGGTGGTCCTCCTTGGATCACATTTGATAAGCAGGTCAAAACATACACTTGTTTAATAATCGATGGTGCTAAACTATTTTCCGGCATTCTTTATGTTCTTTATAGTTGGAATATACAAATTGAGGTCCCAATTTTGGTGCTGTTATTATAGGTCCTTTGCTTCGAAGCCTACTTTCAACAGGCGGTTCATGAAAGCCGTTTTGAACAATATCGTGTAAGAAGATGTCAAGTCCTTTTCTACTTGGAAGATGACACAATCCAAGTCACGGAGCCTCGTACTCTAAATTCTGCACTTCCGCAAGGTTTGAGTACCCATGCTGTTTTTGCAAAAAAAGCTGCTATACTAGGGGTCAATCATTTTTTATTCCAGTTTATTACTTTGGACTTTATTAACTGAGAATTTGATCACTTTATGGAGAAATTGCATAAGAACAAAGTTGAATATCTTTTTTTTTCTCAACTGCTGATGTGAGTCACTGCAACAGCCCTTAGCTAAGTTATCCAACCTTTACTGCAGGCACAATTGTGAGGCGCCATCGAATTCGCAAACCGCCGCCTTACGAGGACTGCTTCTACACTGTGGAGGACTTTAACGTAGGCATTGATCTGGAGCTTTATGGACGTGTCTACCGCCTAGTAGCGTGCGACAAATTCACTACCAACTTTTTGCGCAAACTCGGTGTAAAAGTAAACGAAGCAGAGCCCATTCCTGATGATCCCTACACAATGCACCGTAAATCGGTGAGTAAGAGGCATTTTATCAGACATTTTTTACTCTAATTTAGTAAGCCTTCAGTAAATGGCTGCTAAATAAAACACAAGAAAGCGCCCATCATTTGTGATGGAGGATCCAGAAAAGTTGATAGGTTTTCTCAGACGTTGACCGTCGCCTTTAGGTATCTGACGCGATGCAACCGCGGCGTCCGCAAGAACGCGTTGATACACTGCGTCAATTTCTCAATCACGATAGACAAGTCTTGCGTTTCTTTTGTGTCTGGGACGACACCAACGCCCTTTACGGCGATGTTCGTGATTTTGTACTTAACTACTTCTTGGGTAATGAAACGTGATCCGTGAGACTTGATGGGCTATGATCGCCCAGTTATCAACATTTCTTCCCTTTATCCTACCTCAGGTGATGATACTATCGAGATACACGAGAAAATCACCGCCAATTCGGGCCGTGAAGCTGTACCTTACTTTCTGCGGCGCCAGAAACTGCCTAAAGGTGTTCCACCACTACCTCTGCCAGGAGCCGTCAGTAATCAAACTATTCTAAACACTATGGGTACCGTACAAACCAGTTGCAGTCACATGCTGGACAGCATAAAGGTGGGCATTCAGCAACCTGACTACTACACAGACGCAGATCTCACCTTGGGCGCTGTACTGAATGTATATGGGAGGAAATTCTTAATTTGTGATTGTGATGAATTCACAAAGGAGTTTTACAGAAAAAAATACGGCGTCAGTGAGTAAAAGTCACTCCCAAAACATTTTTTGTTCTGTTTGCTTGTTCGGCGTCGTGTATTAATGCTTTTTAGTAAATGAGTTGGTGCACGTTACACATAAATGCAAAATTTGTCGAATACATCAATTTTAGAGACCTTTACTCCGGTGGCTCCTCCACGAAGTGAGTGTGATTATACAGTGAAACGGGAGAATCCGCCTTACAATGGTTGGGGCTCGGACGAGGACTCATTGGCCAACTGCTACAATCTCATTCCACGTCCGCCAAAGAAAATGTTCGAAGTAAACTGCAGCGTGGAAATCCTCCGATTCGCAGCACATATTGTTGCAGGTGTGGATGATGACGATGGAAACTGTGGTAATGGAGGAAACACTCGAAAACGCGCATTTATCATCTCCTGCTTCTTGCGTGACAACACCTTCATGGTATACGAACCACCTGTCACAAATTCTGGTAAAATTGTTTATGCTAAAATGGTACCGTTAAACAAGGTGTGACAGCAAATTTTGTGCATCCCAAAATTCTTTAGGCTATAAAGGTGGAAAGTTCATGGAGCGGCGCCGAGTTTTGAAACCCGGGCAGCCCATATTCCGCACGAATTTGCCAAGCTACTACGGGCCCTCCGACATCTATATCGGTGGCCAGGTTGTCTTCAACAACTTTGTATTTGAAATTTACGGCGCTGATGAACATACGCTAAAGTACATGGAGGCTCATCCTGCCGAATTTCCATATGCTGATCCACAGGCTGTGCTGCGACGTCTGCGTCCGCTTGTAGATGGTCGAGAGGAGACGATCCGTCGTTTAGCCTCGGGAGCTGATCCCAGTGGAAGTGGAATCGTTGATTTTGGTAAATTCGGGTGTTTTCTGCGGGAATTGGTGAAGGATTCGGGTGTGGAATCGGTGTGTGTGGTCCAGCATGAGGCTGTGACATTGGCGCGTTTTTATGCTCTCAAGTGAGTTTGGCGGTATGTGTAAAGGAAAACGATCTGATTGGACAGCTGATGGTTAATCAAAGTAGACATCGAGCAGACTGAATTTTTGTTTAGAGTACCGAAAGAGACCAACTACATGGCGGTCGTGGGAATGGCTCAACAGCAACTTCGAAAAGTCTCATTTGAAGCCTTCCAAGAAATACTTGATGCATGTCGATATGAGGACCTGGAGGCCACTGGCGTCATAGATGAGGCTATTTTGCGTCGAATTTGCAAAGCCAATCACTTGCCCCTACCTGACGATATAATACAGACTATAATGGAAATGTAAGTCGCATTAACCTTAACTCCTAAACCCGTTTCTAAAGGCAGCACTGGATGAGGTTTTGCAAATGCAGCATTCGAGTGAAAAGTGACGAGCGGTACTTTGCATTCTAGATCGCAAAACTACGACAACGGAATGGTGTATTATGAGAATTTCGTTAACCAACTGAATTGGTGCTGCAATCCCGTGCCTCCGGGCGCAGTCCCCTGCGATTACTCAGGCAACCTCGAAGTCGACTGGCCAGCGTTTATGAAAACTTATAAGGAAGAGAAGAAGGGAGGCGAATGCATCAGCTCATTTGACTCTTTCAGTGTGGAGAAGGTTAGACTAGGCGCCTTTGTTGAAGACCTAACCAACATTGCTAAGTGCTAAGCACTCACTGAATTGAAACCTCAGCCACAAGAATACACTATAACTATGTATTGTAGGAATATCCAAATGACATTGAGATGGTATTAGGCTATAAAAAATATAATGTCTTCGCACACTTTATCGACGTAAATGTGTACTTTTAAACCATTAAGTCCGCCTTACTTAGGTGCCAAACAAGCAACAAGTCGTAGGGTTTATAAAGTTATCAATCGAATCATGCCTAATAACAATTCAATTTCTTGAAAACAGGACTATATCACGAATTGAAGCGAAAAATGGAATAGCAACTTCAGTCTTACTAAATAGCAAATTGGTAGGATTATGCGGAACTCGTTTAAGCCTAAGGAGTGTCAGTATGTAGGGAATTGTTATACCTCTGCTTATCTCATGACAATCTCTGTCCCCCCAGACGCTAGCGGTTCAAGCGTTGCATGCGACAGCAGTCCTGTCTGTCAGATCCACTTAGAAATTTCGAGGGAATTTAAGAAGTGCTACTAATTCAATTAAGTACAATCGCTTTTTTAGTTGACCGATTGGGTAGACTGTCAGTGAGTCATAAACCAGACTAACATGTTAGGTCAAATTTAAAATTCCGCGGGAGGAGATGAAAATTCACCTACATTTACTTGTCCATACATGTTACCGGAATAGGAGATGGTTAAACTTCTTTAATCATGGGCCTGTCACGAAGTTCGACGCTAAAACTTCCTCGAGTTCCGAGTAGGAAGAATCCACTGCAATGATCACGATATAACCCCTCCCTTCATACGAGTCAGAAGCTCCTTCACAAAATTCACCTCCACCATTGGAAACAAGAGGAATGCATTTTCCGCTTCCCCAATGCATCCGACGCTGCTGCTATTTGAACAGACATGCGACGTTGTCAAAAGCTGATGCAAAAGGTGATCTTATCCATACTGTGGAAAGAGGAAGACGAGAGACCAGAATTTGGTGAGAAACATTGTGAACACGCAGAGATACTTGTATTGCGAATGCAATGGAAGGAGGAGCTGATAAGTTGGAGGTAAAACTGGGCGAGAAATAGACATTGTAACTTTCAAAAAAGAAGTGTTTTACGAGAAACTAAATTCACCGGTCCTGTTGGAATGAAAAAGTGCAACCCTGTTTAAAGTTGAAAGCCATTTCTGCAGGATAGTTTCCTCCTTCTCCCCTTCCTCCATGGGTAAAATCTAATGTTATTGTAAAAGATTGCGGTCGAAATTTTTCCTATTATGTGGACTGGAGAAGAAGCAATACTAAAAGCACCATTGGAACAAACAAACAAGCAAACCGACTCACACTAAATTGTATCTTGGAAAATTCCCCTTTTTTGTGACAAAGTAGAAGACAAATAGCTGAGTCGAAAGGACAAGCAAGTTATTTGAGTTATCAAAGCAAGCAAGTAGGATACAAATCATGCTAGTTGAAGTAGAAAGGAGATAGAGAGAATGAAAATTGTAAAAATGCGTTAATGAATGTTGTTTGTATTTATTTATGAGGTTTTTGGGGTGACAAGGTGCATTGTAAAAAGTGCTATTCAATTAAATAACCAGGAGAGAATTTCACTACTGCCGCTTGCAGTTCTTTCCGCGTTTACCGTTTGCACATTTCTTCCCTGAAAAGTAGAATTGCGGCGCCTTCTACTTATAGCATTTCAGTAGGCTAACACAATCATTCAACACATCACGCGAAAGTCCTACCACGTTTGCGATCATCCTCAACAGAACGTGGTCTCTAAAACAAGTGTTTAAAAAACCATGCTAGTACAGTAACTAATGGAAAGGCGATTTTCGTTTTGTCGAAAGGATGAAAAGAAGTACCTTGAAACGCCGTTTCTTTGGCCTTTGGCGATCTACGGTGTGAGATAAATAAGGGATACTTTTAACTGCATTGAGTGGTTGACGTAGCAATTAATGTATGTGACATCGTAAAAGTGCGTACGCTGGTTCAATTTTCCTCTGCCTCGACCATGCTTGCCACCTTTCTTGGGTCGCATTCGTTTGGGTCTGCCTTCAATTTCTTTGCTACTGAAAAGGAAGTGAAGTGACATTTATTTGAAAATTTTATAAGTTGTCATAAATTAAGTTTATTCATACCCTCCACCACTGACATCGAGGTCATGCGGCCTAAAAGGAAAGAGTCAATTCATAAATAGTTACAGATTGCTGTCTTTTTTGGTTCAAAATTGGGTTCGCGCTGGTGGGCTTATACAAATAGATGCAACCAGTCATCGTGTGTAAAGGTAGACTTTGTTTGACGGCAAACATCCGCTTTCGAATCACTTTATTCCTTTTCCAAAAAACAGGTTCAAGCAGCCATCGGGGAGCGGTGAGTCAGTGGAGGAGATTTAAGGCCACGATGAGGTAGACATGCATGACCTTGTGCAGGCACAACTCTTCCCTTTCTGTCCGAATTTGGGCCGGACAGTCATGGAACTGAGATGCAAAAAAGAAGGACCTACTTTTTGGCCTCCAATGCCCAGTTTTTACCTCCCCTTAGCGAAGATGATGGAGAGAAGAAAAAGATCACAGTAGAGAACGAGACACTCACGCCCTGTCTATTGTCACTGCGGGCTTTGCCTCGGCCAGCTGGAAGCAGGCAACGAGGGCAACAATCACAAGAGCGTATAAAATCCAAGTGCGCATTCCACTGTTTAAACCGCAAAAAACAAAATAACGAGATGATGCAGAAGAATGTGGATATTTTTCCAAACTCCTACGTCTTCCAAATAAAAACTGCCAATTCTGTGTGACAGCTATACGGGAAGAGTGATTGCTCTTCAAAGCCTCAGCCTGACCATTATTTCCTCCTTTAAGAGTCGGCAACAATTCAGGACATTACTTCTCAACTCATGGAAGTGCATTCAATCTTTTCCATTTTAAGCATGCACCAGCTTATGTCGTTGAAGAGAAGCTTTGACTGACACTCCGACCTTAGGTTATGCAGACTTCTAGCAATCATTCATTCGCGAGAGCAATGTTTCACAACCAGCAGAACTAAGTCGTCTAGAGAGAACGACCATAGTTCGAACAATGTGCGCGTTCTCCCAAATTATAAATGCAGACCTTCCATGGAGAACGTAATGCCACAACATCACGAAGAAGTTAAACAGAGAGGAGTCAAATGATTCCAAGCATCAAACATGTGGGCAAAACATCTTATAAACTAAAAAACTCAGCATTCTAGAGTACTAGCGCCCTCAGTTATGAAGTGTGAAAGAACTGAAAGGGTTTGCACCCCCTCTTAGTTATCAGCGTAAAATAAATCTTGTGTAAAGCAAATAACGAAACCGGGCGCGGACGCGCAAGACCCGACAACGCACCGAGAGACGAATGCAGTTTACAATGCTTCTCCTGTAGCAACTGCGTTCTGCGTGCGGTATTATGTTGGGCTTGAATTGGCCGCACGCCTCACCCAACCAATGGTATGGCGACCTTGACCACGCGTTGACCAATAGGCGTGCGAATCTCGCCCACTGTCCCATTGACCGCCGCTTGTTTACACCACACTAAACTGTTGATGACGTCACCTAAGTCACCCGGCTGATTGGGTGATGGGTATGGGGACGACTTATTGTTGAACCGGTAGATCCCCGACTTTACACCCTTGACAGTTCCATCAGGCTAAACAAAATTACCTTAAATCTAGTACATATGGAAGAGGTGAACATTAAAAAAATGCTGTTTAATTTCGATTCCTTTATTGCTTACTTCAAGTGGTAAAGTGCTACGATGATGAACCCTGCCGAGAACACAAGCTCTTGAGCTTCGGGCCATGAGCGTCCACACATCGCGGCACCATTCAACTGGTGGTCGATTGCTGACTTGATCACTACAGCTTGCCTTCTGCATTGAGTCAAGTATTGATTGTTTTTGACCAAGTTTTGCGGGAGTTTAAAGTGATCCCTTTATAAAAGCAATAACAGACATATTTTGGGGGAAAAAATTCATACTCTGGTATGCAACTTTAATGGTCGTAAACTTGGAGGAAAAAATATTAATATTAATATTAATATTAATAGTTGTGCAAAATGAATATGCACCGCTTAGAAGGGTGTGTACTTTATAAACTACTGATTCTTAATAATAAATGTTGTCACTTTCTTTAAGGTTGGTGATGCGTTTTTGTGGCAAAAATAGCATCGCTTCTTAATGCGATTGCTGATTGGCTGACTGATATCGATGAAGCGCAAGCAGTGCGTCTCCTGAAGGATGCGCCTCCCACCAATGGGAAACAGTCTTAAGAGGTAGAAAATACTAGTAACTGATAGTAAGGAGAAGAACGGAAAAAAATTACCAAACCTACAAAGTAATGCAATCAAGAGGAGGAGGTGAAAACTCCGTTCCCTTTACGTGTCGGCTTCAACACAATGAATGAGGGAGACAAATGCGCTAAAAGTGGTGGAGACAGTGTTGGGTGGATTACGGCTGATTATTTTTGCAGTTATGTTTAGTTACCTTACCTTAAGGGCAGAATAGGGAAGATTCAATGCTGAGTGCATGCGTCTCTCATTAAATGATCTTTCGCCTTTTTTAATCTAAAGGTGGTTATATAGGAGGGAATAAAAGAATACCAATGTGGTGGTACAACTGGTGTTAGAGAGGGAGAAGAATGCTGGGATTACCAGACCATCAAAACTCTTATACATCTGTTTTCAGTCAGCATACTGAAAAAAAAGTACATTTTGACCAGGCAAATGGGTCTGGGCAGCCAGACATAAATTCCAGTTCCTGTGTGTCTGATTGTTGAACAATAAAACAACATCGTGCCCGTGGGAATAACCTCAGCCTCATCTCTGGAGCCACCCAAACTCAGCTTTATGGAACATTAGAGACGCTGAAAACAAAGAAAATGATAAACAGGTCTTGGTGTATCTCCTAGTTATGCTATGTAAGGAATGGAAGGAGGTAGAAAAGAAGTTCAAGGCGGAGGACACAAGTCGCTCCTTTCTCTAACTGTCCCCAGGCAAGTGTTGCGAGCTATAAAGCCTCCGTTGACCTCCACTGCAACCTTTTGGATGAAGACCCTCCCTTAGTGCATTGAAGCCTCATCTTAACCACCACCATGTTTTCATTCAATTTTCCGATGTTTTTTGTACTTCTAAAACAGAAGCAAAGGACATCACTAAGACAAAAGCATTTAAAGCGTAGTATTGCAAAGGGAGATACGTTGAAGTGTGTCCTGTTTGGGCACGTACGCAGGTGGTCCAAACATTTTCACTGGCGGTAAATCACGGGAGCTGAAGGTCAATCACTTGATTTATTCATCATGTCCCTCTTTATGGCGGTTCAGAGTTCATTAGAGGGGGTGTGGGTCGAGTCATGCCCTAGTAAACTGTTAAGCCATGTGATAAGGTGGATGGACGTTAGAGCCTTTTGGTGTCTCGTTGCCGTCAGAGCGGTTGCAGTCGTCGTGACTTCACCTAAAGGCGTCTGGTTGGGAGATTCACAACTTCCAGGCGGACAGCAGGTTTCAGAGAATGTCGAACGGAGCTTAAAAGCTAAAAAAATACGATAATGTGTCTCTCCACTCTGATGAGTGGAGGTCAAGGCTACACAAGGGAATTTGACCATCATCAAAATCGGAGGTTGGAAAAAGGCGAATGAGTGCAATGAAGCGCATATTTGATGGCATTGTCATGATTAGCAATGTTAAATGCATCAAAACGCAATAACTCATTCCGATAGAGATGCAATGAGAGAAATCTGTGAAGTGCGGCTAGCATTGTTATTTTTCACTGGCATATCGGGGGGGGGGGACACCGGAGGGAACCGACGTGACTGGTCGTGTTGCTACATCAGCTCGTAAGGGTAGCTTCCTTCGGGAGGCATCAAAACGTACGGCATTCAAATTCTGCTTTTTTTTCTCTCCACTGTCACATTCGACGGGCAAACTTCCAGACCGACTCGACACACTGCGCCCAAGCAAGACACGAAAAGACAACGCACAATCTTTTCACGAAATCGCAGAACGTCTCACTGAGGCCGATTCCCTCCGGCAACGGAGAAACGCACTGGAGGCGGACAGCCTCAGCCGTCACCAGATCTTGCGAAGAGGTGACAAACGGATGTTAGTGCAAACCTCTTTGCGTTCCTTCAGAAGAAGCAATTCCCTTGCACCACATCTTGTACATCGTCCCATTCGTCCGTCCCTCCGCCCGTCCGTAAAGCACACCACACAGTCATTCAAATCATTCCAAAACCACTTCTTATCATACAACCAATCCACATTCATTCCTTCGACCGCCCACACCATACTTACTTCTCTATCCACCCATCAAACCCTTTACTTATTAATCTAATACAGTTTTATTTATCATCCCATAGATCTTCTCTTCTGGCTGATGACACGGTAGTCGTTGTGTGGTTCCGAATCGGTGAAAAGACCGATTTTCGCCCTTTACAACTGTGACCAGATTGTCGGTCAGCTGCTGCACCCATAAGCACCTATACTTTTACCCTGACAACTGACATCTGCATTTTATTTACTCATCAACTCGACTTTGCAAAATTAACTTTAAGCGTTGAACTAACTTCCAGAAATGTAGCCTTTTTTCGTAGGAAAAGTAAATAGAGGTTCCAATGGCCGAGAAATAAACAAAGACCCTCCAATAAAGCCATGTCAAGCTGGTTGCACAGTTCCAGTCCATTTGTGCCAGTGCTTGTTTAATCGGACTCCTTAAGCGTGTCACAAGGAGCTTCGAATAAACACACTGAGGTAATTGATTGTTAACGCAATCCCACCGATTGTTTATGCCCGTCACATTATCGTCATGAGGTACACAAAAAAACAATTGCGGCAGTGTTTATGCAGATGGTACCTTCGATTCAGTACTGTCGTGATGTCAATAAAATAAATAGAATAGTCACAGGCGTTAAGTAGAAATTCGAACTTGACAGGTGTCAATGTATGAAACTTTACGCTATAAATTACTTCAGTTTTAGCGTTTTTACTTATTACAAATAAGTAGCATGGCGTAATCCGTTTACCATCAGCCCAATTGTGCTTGTGGATTCCACGCCAGAATATGGACACCGGTTGTGGCATTAGCAGGTGTCTAAAATGCACAGATGCATTTAATTTGTGATAATTGTCTAAATATGAAGAAGCTAGAGCGAGTCTCCTTTCCACTTATAAGTCAAACTTTAGTAAATATGCACACGCCAGGATCCACTTGATTATTACTAACTTAACCCATTCCTCGGCTCCTATTCGATAACTTCGACACCAGGTAAACTCTTAAAATCAACTCTGACTGGCTATTAGACAATAGCCAATTGTGAAATTTGTTGTCAAGTGCAGCGGTTGCTACTAGAAACATTGGTAAGAAGACAGAATCACCCAACTCCAAGTCAAAAGCTCATTGGGTTGCCAAACAAATGGACAGGAATGAATTTCTTAAACAACTGGCGGATGTGCAATGCCGTAATGTTCTCCTAGAGGAAAAGGTGTGTGAAATTTGCCTTTTATTTAAAAAAAACAACATTACTGAAGAAACGCTAATGCTAATGAAGGCTTTAAAACTGCAGCGTGACTAATTAACTGAGTAAAATCTCTGACTTTTCTGAATAAGTTCAATGCATCCCTCGTATTTGTCTTGACGTTGCTAAAGCATACATAGACTGGAATAATCGATGGAAAAGACGTGTTTCATTAGTATTTTAGGCTCATGTAACTTCCTTGGTCGCTAACAGCCCACAAGAAGACGGCCATGATTTTACGCCTTAGTGATGCCCACTGACATCGCAGTCCACTGTTCCTGCCTTCTCTCTTACTTTTAAATATCGAATTTTGGCTTCGACTCCATTAAGGATGTATGAATTAAAGTATTAGTGTGCACAAAACGAGAGGTTTCTTGAAACCTACATTTTTGCATTTCGACGGCCGGACTTTTTGCTTCAAAACCTCCTCAATAAGAAAACAGGGCTAGAAGGCCGATCCTACTTTGGAATGATGGAGAGAAATGGAAAATTCTTCAACAGTTAATGCAAACGTAGATAGATCGTGCTTTAACGGTGGTTAGGATAGGAGCGTGGGAGGATGTGATGTCAAAACCTCTTTTCTTCACACTGAATGCAAACGTTGCGTCCTCATTCCTTTCATTGTGGTGCAAACACAAAAGGCTGACGTCAATTGACAGCAGTCAAACGAGAAACACCTTAACGGTAACTTATGCTTATAATTAGCGATTTAATTAAACAAGAAAAATTCACCGCTGATTATGGATATGCCTTTTAAGTAACACAAATTTCATAACTGTTCTAAAGGTAGGGAATGAAGACGCATTTTAATTGCTTTTAATTTAGGCTATGGAATCTATTTAGCTTAATTTGTTTTCGAATAAGCCAGGCACCCAGTAAGTCGAAAAAAAGAGAGCAAATTGAACATTGCATAATTGTACCAAATTGCTTGCCGATCCCCACATCATTTGCTCCTGCATTCTTGGAGGGAGGATGAGTTATTAGGCATTCCAAGAGCGTACAAGCAAAAAAAAGTACAACGCATCCCAAATTGGTGCCTGGACTAGTTCGGGACTTCCTCTGCATGGTGTTTGAATGAAATTTGCACCTCTCCTCCATAAGCACAGTTAAGACAACCAACTCATATCACAACTTTAGGGCACAAGTAATGAAAATATTACATTCGCTGACGGAAACTTGGCGTAGCACTACAGGTCCCTTAAAAGGTCAGAAGACGCGTGGCATCGTGAGTGAAGACTCCCAGAGCAGCAGAACCCTTCAAGAGATTTTAATAACCACAACGGGAAGCAAAAGTTATGCTGTTTGCGACCCTCATAACATAGACATTTCCGGCTTGCTAAGGTTTAACATCAGTGGCAAATAGTCAGCGGCTGTAATTTAGAAAATGCAGTGTCTATTGCTGAAACTGGTGGAGCGCCTCTGGTGGTGAAAGTTACACCAGCGTGACATACCCCATGTAAGCAACGTACAAAAGCTTAATAAGTGCAAAATACATTTGTTGAAATGGTGGCCGCCTAAACCAAAAGGCTGAATTTTTATTTATTACTAAATAATAATAATCATATTGACACTTGTATTACAAAGTACGAAGCCGCACAATACGAGGCTGAGAGTCTTAAAAAGGACCTACAACGCAGCCAATCGGAGGTGGCCGACTTGCAGCGCTCACTAGAGGCAGCGCAAGGGGAGATTTTTGACCTTAAACGTACTGCCTATGACACTAGAGACAACAGCGCAGCGATACGCGTTCTGCAAGCAGAGAGCGCAGCCACCATTGAGAAACTGAAGCAGGAGAATCGCAATGCTCGAAAACGGGTGGATGAGGTGGAGGCAGAATTCAGGTATTCTCTGATTTTAGGAATTACATTCTCTTCAAATGGCAGATTAAGTTTGCGCTTTATGAAAAGTACCAAATGGCATGCAATTAGAGATACCAGTTAGTGTCACAAGCTTCCTATTTAGAGAGGAAGAGGTTTAAGAGAAGTCAAACCTTATGCCTATAAATCCCTGACTAAATTTGACATTGCAGTGCTTATTGACTCGCTTAGAACTCGCCTGTCCTTGAGGTTAACCAATCAGAGGACGAGAACCAAGAGGCGTGATATCGATAAACCTACATAAAGAGCGACCTCTTAAGTCATAGTTACTGCCCGCGCCTTTGCCTCACCTGCCTTTTATTATCTGGAGGATGCGTCTATGGACACTATTTTGCTTTCGATACATTGGGAGGTCTTGTGGTTGTGATCTCTTTATACGTAGGTAAAAGGCGTCGGGGAAACTTTGAACTTTTGCGATGATGGGGAAAAAAGTGGTGTCGTGGAGGTCAAAGCCATTGATTGTTGACGTAAAGCCACTTTGCTGCCTTAACATCACTCTACCTCTAACTGTGACTCTTTGCATTTAAAGACTTCTGAAGGAGTCGCAAAAATCTCTGTCTTCTCCAACTCAAGAGGACATTATGAACCAATTTTTCGAATGGAAACGACGACTGGGATTGTGCGCCTCAGCAGAAACGCATGAAGTGTTCAATGCGGTGAGTTGGGTTGACGCGCGAGCTAAAAGTCGAGGAGTGATGCAATAGCTGCTGGTTATGAAACACGTTTTCTTTTTTTAGGTAAATGATCGTCTAGACAGAGCCCTAGCGTACGAGGCCAGAACGAATGAGGCGGACTTCGCCCAACAGGAGCTGAAAAATCAGCTGCGCGAGTCTCATAACTCAGCTAGTGAATTGGCTAACCGTGTTGAGGTGCTGCTGGCTGAGAAGGAGGCACTTAAGCGGGTACGCGTCGTTCATCCTTCCCCCATTCAAGGTGGGGCTTCTAACATTTCAACAGTTTGGCCAAGCACACTAAACTTTGGCTTGGAAAAACACTTGGATAATTAAAATAACAATGAGCGTTGTGCACGACTTTCCTCATCAGCCCTGGAGGCTTTGTCGACTGGAAGCGGAGGTTGAATAGTGTCATGTCAAATAATCACCAAATCTACAGCATTGCAGGTGGGATAATGTCGTCATTTTTCTCTCTCAACTCCGAACTGTTTATTTTAGGAAAAGGGCCTGTGGAATACCGAGAAAATTGATCTAATGGCAACTCGGGGACTGTTGGAACAGCGAGTCGCCGCCTTGGAGCGGCAATTAGAGGAGGTGCGTGACAGGCTCACTGCTGAGACCGATGTGACAAGGCAGACGCGACTGGAGAGTCAGCAACTCCTTCTGGAAAAGAACTCTCAGAAGGTGCAATTCACTGCGCTTGTGTGAGTCCATCTTACATGCTGGCAGCTCGCGTTCACTAACGAGGAAGTGGTGATGGCTGTTCTGGGTTGTGTGGCTGTACAAAATTAGAATATGTAATCAGGGGAAAAGAAAAGCCGAGCCATATTTCCTTTTCTCAAGTAATGTCATTCCTCATTTCTGGCCAATCATTAATGACAACAGTTGCCTCTGAATCCCACTGCGATTCCACGAGACTGTAGATCACAAAGACACTTTCAAGTCTGTCGGTAAGAGGGCGCGACTCCTCAATCCAATGTGACACCTCTTCGGTACATCAACAATAAGGAGGTCATTTATTTCATCAAAATTGTTTTGATTTTAGAGAATCATTGGCTGCCACTCTGAGCACCGTTGAGTCGCCTTGTGCACAAACGGAAGGCGCTGTCAAAGAGAGAGTGACAAGGCTGATCACCGAGCTTCAGTCACTTAAAAAGGTGCTTTTGAGAGTTCAGATGGAAGGGGAGAGGACCAGTAAAAGCCCGTAGCCGAGGTGTATCTGCTTGGTTTCCTCTTTGTTTTGCCTAATTAAACTTCCCGCCCAAATAACACATTCAATGGCTTGGAATTAATCTTTGCGACTGTGCGGCCCATGAAGATTAAGTCCTCTCACCTAATGAAAAGCTTTGAATGTGTGAAAGTAATTTAGCCAATTCTTGTGTTCAGACTCAATTGGAATTGGAGAAGAAGATTGACGAGTTGGGAAAGCAATTTGAGTTTCAATTTACCAATGGACAGACACTGGTGGACGAATTAACTGCAGTAAAACATGATTTGGAGACCGCCCACAAAGCCAAGGAGAGACTGCAATGCGAAGTGGACGGATTTCGGTTAATGCACAGCAAAAAACAACCCACTGCTCAGGTCTGCCTCAAAAACATTGTGTTACTTGTATACCAAAGAGTGGAAATAGTGTACTTCGTGCCCAGTTTTTGGTTTAACAATCCAACTTGTCACAGCGAGGATAGCAGCTATTCTGGAACGCAACGTAAGAGATTAGCACCTTTTTTAGAAAGGACTGCTGAATGTTCTAATCATTGAAGTCGGTAGTGATGGGCAAATTTTGATAGCATTGTTACATATGCTGCTTGCACATTTTAAAGTGCCCATTTACAATCCACTTTTAGGCCCTCGAGAAAGTGGTGCTGCTCTGTGGCAAGCTGGGCATTCAAGTAGGAAAGAATTCCCACTCGGAGTTGCTCGAGTTGATAGCAAGTAAGTAAGCTGCGATTGTAGGAACTTTCAGCCCACACTCAGGCTTCCAAACCTCTGGCTTAGTGAGAGAAGTGTTTGGAGAGGGTGTATTAGGCGTCCTTTGCAGAGTAAAATGGGGTTCGGGTGTGGATAAGACAGCGATCCAGCGTTACCTCACGGAGTCATCCTCACTTTCTTCAAGCATGGAATTAGCGCTTGAATGACCAGTCGCCCCTTCCCTATTGCAACGATGAACAGGTTTTCCTCATGCGAATCCAATTATTTAAATGACATCTTCTTAAGAAAAGATGGAACACATCCTTGACAATGGCTGCATTTCCTCTGAATGCATCCTAAGCTCGAACACCTCCACCAGTCGACCACTGCATCTCTGCAGCCAAACGAAGCCTCCTAAGCACAATTGCAGTCAAAAGCAAGAGTAAGTTTGCCTTGGGAAAAGAATGCGTCAACCACGTTATCTAAATTTGCTTCAATTTTTTTGCTTTCGGTACTTTATTCAAAAATTTCAGCAACAGAATGGCAAATCGTTAATTGCTACTTTAACAATACTAGTTTCTTAAGCGTAAACTATCCTTTTTGTCCCTTGTTTAAGATGACTCGCGAAATTTGCGCAATTTAAAAATTGGAATTGTCCTAAGCACACTTTGTAATCCAGTGATTTCTGGGAAGATTGCGAGTTCAAGAACCTTCCAGAGTTCGGAGCAACAAATGTGTGCTGCGGTCATCAATCTCCACAATTTACACGTCCACCAACGTCGTGAATGCGTCGAGTGTATGTCAATGGCAATCAATCGAAAGACAATGCAAATTCTTTGGGTAGCGACGTAGCATACAACTTCTCAAAAGATGCAACTACATTTATTTCATGCCATTGACAAGCATAATTCGCGTAGAAACTAGTTTCATACTTTTACAATATATGAGCAGTCAAAGGCTACGTTGGCGAAGCGAAATTCCATATTACCAATGTCCTTTTGGTGTGGCATGGAATCACCATTGGGATTGCCTAACGCTTTAAGCATCGTCTTGTCAAACGTAAATACATTCAGTGCCTCAATGCTTAGTTCCACTGATGGAAAAGATGACTGCCCGAGCTGCGCCCATCTCCACACCACACCGCTGGACTTAGCCAATCACGCACCAGAATGGAGCGATCATGACGTCCAAAGGGTTCAACATCTGTGTGCTGAATGCCTAGTCTGTTTAGCTATGGCCTTGAGACAGCGCTTGCAGGCGGTCATGACAGTGGCTCCAGATATGGCGAAAAGGGAAAGGGATTTGACAAGTGAATTGGAGAAGGCCAAACGTGAGATGGAGGAGATGCATGAGAAGGTCCTGAAAATAGAGCATGAAAAGGTAGGTCGAAACGAACTTCTTGTCATTTCAAATTAATTGGATGTAGGGAGAAATCACTACTAAGTGTGGGATTTGTGATACCTCCTCATTTCTACCTTACCCTCCTGGTATTGAAGAATACAGTGAAAAAAAATTTCTCGCATATTTGTAGAGTGAAGAATATGAGAAATTGGAGCAAATGGTTTCCAAGTTGGAGGCTTTGAGACAGCATCAGGCGAAGAGGATTGCTGGACTCCAGTCAAAGACTCAACGGCAGAGCACTATGGAGGCACAGAAAGATCAACAACTTAGTGCAGCCAAAAATTTTCTCATGGAAAATCGGCAAAAACAGTTACGAGTGAGGCATTATCCTCTTCCAATCAAACATTTATTTTCGCAATTGGACGAATTAGAGTAGATAACCAATCGAATATAGGACAGTCAATTACTCAATTTCGATTGGCTCATAACGGCGTCGTAACTCACCAATAAAAAGGAAAGTTTGGAGTCCACGAATCAAACGATTGTCATTAATGCATTTATTCACAGTTTTTCGGCATTATGAGGCATTGAGTAGTGGAATTTGATTGGGTAAGAGGCAGAGGCATAAGCGGACCTTTTCTTGATAGGCTGGTCAGCAGAGTGCCACCTCCATTCTGCGTTCCCGTCTGGACTAGCCAACAAAATTTCAGGCATGGCAGGGGTGCTTTGCCTCGATGGATTCGTCTCTTATTTTTCTCTGTGAGGGGACTTATGTCTTAAAATACAGTTGAGATTAAATAGAATTTAAGTGGGGCGGTTGCCGTTCTGATCACTGAACACATGAACATCACAGTTTGGCATCTTCTCTCAAAAAGCCACGTTTTATTGTCAAGTGATTTTCTCGTCCTGAAACGTAGACCGGATGTTTTACTACATTCTTTAGTCGTAAATCGTAGCTTTCTAACCATACATGTTAAACAAAGTCTCATTGAAGCCTGCTTTGCATGCATTTTCTAAGGCTTGATAAGGAAAAGTTCATAAAATTCACCATCTCTGTAGGTATTTTCATTTTATGATAAACAACGTTCATTCACCGTCATTAACACTTGGGTGGAAGACTTTTATGCTGTCGAATATATCAACATGGAGGTATACCTATGCGTTATCTCAATAATAAACAGTTGGGTTTTGGCGTCAAAAGGCGCCCCTAATTTTGCGGTTATAATATTTCTTGAGCAGTTGGATTTGAGGTCTCCATTAACGATCTCCGCACCTATCAGTGGTACAAGATGAGAAGTCTTACACGGCGGGTACTAATAAACAACGGGGTCGAGACTCCTGCGTTTATCTAAAACGTCCAACTATTATTTGCATGTCAGCTAATTAGGAAAGAAATTAGCGTATCATTTAGTGCTTGTCGAAAGTGTTTTTATAGCGTGATGGGTAGAATATGGAAGGTCCAAAATCCTAATCCGATATTTGATGAAATACTGAAATTAACACAGCAAAATGCGGTATTTTAGGTTAATTTGAATCCCTTTAAACCCTTCGAACTTGAAGCAATCATATTTGAGGCCAAATGATCATTCTACTTCCATGAATGCAACATGTCAGTTCATGTAAAAGTTCTTCCTACCTGGTCTTTGGTGTATGGTTAACACTTGGATTTTGATACTTCATCATCTCCCAAGGGCTTTCAGAAGCCTAGTTTAGCGAAAAGGCGAGAAGGGTGTAAATCGGCATAAGTTGTTGACATTGGACATTTGCAAACGCTTCCAAGTGTCAAACTAAGGGTAGAACTTGATGGCGCATTTTGAAGGGGCAGCATAATTGTTATCTATCATCTGACAGGCAGAATGGCATTTAGTAAGAAATGCTACCGTTTTTTTAGTTGTTAAATTTCCGAAACACGCTTTGCCGAATCCTCGGTCTGGACGCTTGGCTCACACCCAACCCGGAAGCTATGATAATTCAACGTGTTCAGCAGATTCTGCTAAACGCCTCGGCTCAAAGCAGAACACTGTATCTAACGCACCCCTTTGCCTCAGTCCCTTTGTCACACCCAACAGTTACTGCTCAACCACTTCCCTCTCTGCCAGGACCAAGCTGTAAGTGCCAATTTAAATCCAATAATAGCTTTATGGGGCCAATAATGTTGTCATTTGTAGATGAATTTCTGGAAGACGGAGTAGTTGAATTGCAGAATGCACCAACACAAAGTCAAAAAGTGAATTTTGACAATCAAAAACAGGGCCTAAATAAACATCTTTTACCTCGCAGGCCTGCAGTCTGCGCTCGTTCCCAGTCCGCGAGGGGGAGAGATACTCGGAAGTATTAGTTCTCCATCGTGACTTTGGAATTTCAAACCCAAATAACATCATGTATTATGACTGAAAAAGTAAAAAATACTGGCAATTGAAATTACATTTTCTTCACATTTTATTCATTTCTAACTAAACTGGCCTTCCTGTCATATTCCTGCAACACATTTAATGAATCCATTTCATGGAAATAGAAAACCGATTAAAGCACGCCTAGATAAATCTAGCAAATTGAAGTTCTCTTATGCAGTGAAGAGTAGAAATGAATCAAAGTGAGGCTAAGATGATCTTGTCTCCAAGTTGACATGCAAACCATCCAAATAGCAAAAATTTTCAAAAAGGCATTGTATTCAAAGCATAGCCAAATGAGAGCGCAAGTTATCAACGCAACTATGGTTAAGCAATGCGAAATTTAAAAGGAAGGTAAGGCGCATGTATTCTTCATGAAGAATGTCTATACAGATAAATGCATGTTACATTAAATCAAATAATTTGGCTTTAATTTTAGTTTCAGTCTCTACCCTCTTCAGGCATCATAGTTTAAGGGATCTTTCCGGTAGGTAATCAGGCCTCTCTGCAAGCTACAGGCCATATTAATTATGCGCGGTTAGGGAAGTGTCAAAGCCCTCACATCGATGGTTCGCAGAGTCTTCAGAATGGATTTTTGATACATTTTCATACCTCCCTACAAAGCACGATATAGACGAACGATATGTACTATGGGAATGCCTTGCATATATTCATTAAATAAATGCAAGGTCTCGAAAAGTCCCATCAGCTATATATTTTTTTAACTTCATCAACCGACTTCTTTTGCTCTAACTGCAAAATATTCACTTATTCATGGGTTTACTGCAAGCTCCAGCATATGAATCTGTCATTGGCTTAAGTTGGTTAGCTGTCTAGTGGCTAATAACGTGCAACTAAGAGATACCAATCATATTTATGATGCATGCTTTGCACAGTTTTTCGAAAAAATCGTGGAGGGTCAAACCACTTAATCTGATATAACTTGATTAAATTAACACAGATTCAAAATTAATAAAAATGCTTTCGCTTACTAAATTTTAGTGTAAATAATTACAACTAGCTGATAACAATTTAGCTTTAAGATTTTGAGTCATTTTTTGAGTTGTCTCATTTGAGCACAGTTTGTTTAAGTATGCGGTAATGTCTGTCTTCTAAGGTCGTAGCTTGTGCTTATGGCCCTTTCAAGATTTTGCGCGTTGCGTTTGGGGGTTTCGGGGGTAGTGTGTTGTCCTGTTTCGCTTGAAAATGTCTGTTCATTGAGTTGTTAGTAAATCATCCCATTCCTTCCCATGACCAACCCAACTATCCGTATTTTGCAACGTCCCATTCAAGTCATCCGGACTAATGAGGAGAATGTTTTGTATGTTATGGTTTCCTTTATGTTAATCCGATTTTTCTGTTTTACTTACCTCATTGATGTCAATTTAGGCCTGTGGCCCCGTCAAAAACTCTGGAAGAAAGGGAAGCCCATTATGCGTCTGTGCGCCGTAGGATAATGGGAGCTGAATCAATTAATAATTCAACTGATTCGGATGAGCTTATCGATCCTGAGGTATCTCTCTACGGTAGTCTGCTTGGTGAGGACCAAGGGAATTCGGATGATACGGAAAAGGTCCGAGCTTTGGGCCAGAATACGGTTACTACGACGACAACCTTGCCATCGCTGTCGGCTGATGCTGCATTCTCGAAAGCCTCTATTCCTCCATCCGCCGCTGTCCCTCTGATGTCTATTCCTACAGCGGCTTTATCCTTCCATCACTCGTTAGAACGCGACAACCGTGCTTTAGATTTTATTTTACCTTCTCGTGTGCATCAAATGCCTCTTCTAGGCGCCCCCCAGAGCTCCTCTTTGTCGGCGAAGCATCGTCATTCAGATCCTCCACTGTCACGAGGATTCGCTTATGAGTCAAAAATGTTCAATCCTATCTCTTCAGCTCCAGTCCTGCCACCACAGCTGCCTCGGTCGTCGCTTACCTCTGCACTTCCTCAATCACCCGCAAAGCCATTGAATGTGCACGATAACTTTCTGCGTCAGTACCAGTTTCTCAATTGGCAGCTCCTTTATCAACCATTTCAGCAATCGCCGCAGCAACAGCAACAGAACCAATTACACCATCAGCAGCAGTCTTTTATGCCGCCTTCCATGGTCTATGAGGGCGGTGTTTATAATCACCACAACTACAAACAGGGAATTCTTCAGGGTCCTAACTTCTTCCAGCCGTCATCGAGTTAGCAACTCTGTGTGTATCTATGTCTCTTTGTGGTGATTCAATCCATCACTGAAAAATATACAGTTCCTTTAGATTGGTCTTATTGGTTATTTTAATCCTCGAATCCGTTTTATTTGCTGCTTATTGTTAAGTGTTCCACTCATGCAATGAATCACGTCTTACTTTGCGCTTGTGGGAGTGCGTGTTGATGGGGTCATGATAAGGTCATGGAGATTAAGGTTGGTAATAGTAGCAATGAAGGCTGTCGCCCTGTCCGAGTTTATTCCACCTTATTTCACTACAGGATGGCCACTGGGAGCGTGGGATGGTTTGCATTGCTAAATTCGCGACTGCTCCAGTTTTATCTTTTGTGGTGGCTCTTGTGAGTCATTGTTGGGATATGCTACTACGGTCCCATTTTTTCTCATAAGAATGATGGTGAACGTGTTGAAGTTGGCATCATTTCATTCTGTTGTAGTCTGGTAGCACGATATTGCCTTTAGTCATAATATTTGTGGGCAGAAGCTTCGTTAATCTCGCTCACTCCCCGAGATTCGAAGGTCAGCTTTGGAGCTGACAAAGTCACGTGTGCGGTCGAGGTTTCATTTGCTTCAAAAATGAAATTGTTTTGTATTTTACTCCCACCACCTATTGCATACACTGAGAATGGGAACGTGTCGCGCGTATGGCTTGCTGGGCGTATCCACTAATGGTGCCGTCCTAATGAGTCTTTTTGCTCCTCAATGACGGATACGAAGGTTGAATAAACTAAAATTATGACGTGGTGCGGAAAGCTTTTGACGCAGAACACTGAGTGACTAAAATTGTCCTCTTAGAGTTCCATAAATGCGTAGGACATTGGGTTATCATTTGTGGACCGAAAAGCTCACCTATGATTTTGACCTCACTTCGGTGCGGGGTGATTGTATCGCAGCCTTCGTGTGTCAATCTCAGAAACTATCACATATCGTATCCTTGGCAATGCCAATTCTCCTCGCTATTTCCGCATCTTTGGCAACTGATGGAATTCACCGCATGGACGCAACCTCAGGCTGCTTGTCATTGATGAATTGCTGGGAGGCACTCAAGTTGTCGTTCTGTAAGTAGATTAGCGCTTAATCGCCCTACCTTACTTCCGGATCGACAATCGTAATGTTTTTTGCACTCACGTCCAGATAGGGCTAGAGGAGATCTACCTATTCATTCGGCTATGGGGAGGAGGGAGGAAAAGGTAGGCTGACTATCCACAAAGCTACGAAATCAGGAAGACGAGGAAAGGAAACTAGCGTCACGTGAGAGTATCGCGACGACAAACCCATGCGTGTGCGCGTGCACACAACTAGACTGAAATATGGATTGTGTCAGTGGCTGGGGTGAGGGGGGAGGAGTGGGTGTGGCGGCAGAGATGGGTGTGCGAAGGCGGCCTCCCCCACCTGTGGAACAAAGAATGCACCACTTTCTCTCTTGTCTGCGGGAGAGGCACTTTAGGCTCATTTCACCGCCTTTGCATGCAAGTGTGGCAAACACGTGGGCTTGCGATTGGTGTGAGTGCATCTCATTCACAGAGTGAGAAAGTGTGCTAGCAAAGCTGGAAAGGCAGCAACTTTCTGATGTAATTAGTAAAATCAATAATATGTGAAAGGAAGACGCTGTCCATCGATTTTTTGCCGAGTGGAATGACATTCCCTCCGTTTTTCACCTTACCATGGAGGAGTCACAATATTAGGTTTGATTGTTACTTTTTGAGGCATGCCCAGTGCCTTTAAATCATAGCGGGGACGGACAGAGTGGTCAGCTGTGTCTCAGAGCCGGTTTGTCATATTTGCCTCTTGTTGCTCATAGCTTTGCCTATTTTTGCCAAAGGAGATGTAATTGAGTGCGTGACATGTGTGAGTCACCGATGCATTGAATGGGTCATATGGAACGCACTATAGGCTGTAGCAATTCAGGGAGGCGTAAAAATTGCTCCATAAACTTTTCAAGTGGAAAAAAAGTGAAATAAGCTCTGCCCATGAATTACTTTAATAACTGTAGGAACACACCTGCTTCCGAATCCAATAGGATGAGTAGGACTTCGCAAGGATCAAACAACAGCGTAACCTTATTTATGATGATAAGTGGCAAAGTAAAAATAATGTAAAATAACGTAATGATTTTGTTTTAATGAAGAAACGACTTTCCAGAGATGGAGATATGTGTAATTCATTATAAGGGGCAATATATACAGACGATTATACGGCTGTCTTCGAGTAATTGGATAAAATTACTAGTAGGGCACAAAAGGCATCAAATGTGGAGTTAGTGATTATTCTATAAAATAACTGATAGAAGAGCTTTAATTTGGGCAGGCTTTGCTTCCCAAGAGTATACTGACATACACAAAGCATTGAAAGCACAATTTTGGCAACCGAGACTACCGCCAGATAGAAGACATCTCGTTTGACAGGGCACATGTCTTCCAAGCGGAGAAGAGATAGAAGAATGATAAAGCATTGGCACTACTCAAAGGCCAGCCCGCGCGTACAAAAGCAAAACGAACACTAGAGTAACAACCACACATCAGGTCGTTGCACAAACAAAGCATAACAACATATAAAGCTCTAGTCGTAATTACGCTTTTAATGCTCTTGGATATCATTAAAACTTTATTAAAAGCAGAAAATCCACAATGGAAAAGCCAATCGAAGTGCCAGTATTCATAGAAGCTATCAGGCCTAGTTTGCTTTATGGACCATGAGTTTTTTGCAAACGTTGCCGAAGCGCTAAAATTGCGTCAAATATGTAAATAAAATTTAGAAAAATAATTTGTTGATAAAAAATTGTCCTTAAAATTATTAGTATAAAATAACAAAATATGTAAAGTTGTTCGAATGTTCTAACGTTGTTAGCGTTTTCCTGAATGGCAGAGGCTGCAAACTCGGTAATTTTGTCCGTGCTTGCATATCATTATTCCTTGTCGAATACGATTTTAGGAGTACTATTTGTTATTCAGCTTTTGATAAAATTTTCGTTGGATTTTTTAGTTTTACATAAGTTTTTACGCCAACTTTTAGATTAATTTCCCCTTCGACGTTGTAAGTCGGACTCTCTCTACATTATGCCTCATTTTGTCTGGAACATCATGGAATATTTCCTTTTTATGTTGGTAGAACCTTATAGAATCATATCTACAGCTTCGATTGCGGGCTGCTTGTGTTGATTCGCTGACAGAGTACACTCCCGTTAATTTTACAGCAAGTAAGAATATTTCTATCCATTCCTTTTATCGTGACACTTACTGGTCACAGTGCTCGTTTAGTCTGTGCGCAAATGCAACACTGACTGTCCTTGTAAATTGCGGTCTTTTAGAGCCATGTCTCGTTTCTGTACCTCCGCGGTCTTCGCTGCTGTATGAAATATATCATCAACTCATTAAGTTATCACATGGTATTCGTTCTGGCGATATTTATTTATTGTACTTTTTCTATTACTGGGAGTTATTGCTACTTGTTGTAGACTCTTCGGATCGGAATCCTCGTTGTTGGAATGTTGTATATGAACGACGTTCCCCAAACCAGGAATTTCTTTCTTTTTCAACTTCATTCATGGGCCTTGTTGTTCGAGTAGAACTTCACAAACTTTCCTCACCGAATGAGTACGGATTCGACTAGGCCATGTTGGAAATATTTGTCCTCGCTAATGTGATTTCCTAATTTTTCATCACTTTTTCAGAGCAGACTCGGTGGCCGTGTATTGTGAACCAAGGGTTCCTCTGGATCGAGAAAAATTCCTTCTTCATGAAATCCTTCAAACGGATAAATTCATTTCAGACTTCATATTTTCTGCTATTGAAGAGGAGCTAAAAGATACAAAAATACTGCTCCATGAAGTCGGCTTAAAGGGAGAATGATATATTTGTCAACTTATGCTGATTGTTGATGCGGCTATTGGAAGTTTTATTTCTTGCACTCTTTAAAGTCTTGCACATTGTTTAGCCCGCCATGTTAGTGCGAGTTCTTTCCTCTTTCGAGAAAACGGGGAAACCTTTATTAATTCGTCTAGTCGGGTTAAGTGACACGACTTATCACATGCATACTTATTGTGGCGGAACACTTCTTTCGGGCAGTGAATGCGCTCGGAGTGCGGAGCTGAAGATAATTCAGGTGCACATTGGTGCCTCCAAATATTGTGAAAAGGCGAACTATTGTGCCTTGATCCACCGTAAATAACAGCGATGGATGTGTAAATTCGTGAAGGCGTTGCTTTATGAAATAAACAAGCGGTTCTCGTGGATAGAATTCCCTAGTGAGGCGGGGCGCCACACGCTTCACTTGAATCCCTTGGGGTTCGGATTGGTGATGTTATGCAATTAGCAACGTTTTTTGAATACATGGCTCTTGAGTTAGGTGTAACGTTGACGGACTTCACGGGTGGAGGATATCATAAGTCGGTGAAAATGTTTTGGAATAATTGCTAGGAAGATTTGTTTTGAGTAGAGGATGTTTTTCGAACGCGAATGTGAGCGATGTCTTTTGAACATTAGTTCAGTGCCCGAAGTCTTCTCATGTATACTTGTGACGATTTTTTTGCCTGACCGCCTTATGTCTGATCCCTGTGGTCGTTGGCTAGTCTTCAGGTGATTTTCAGATCTGAGTAACTTGTTCTCCTTGGAATGCATGATTTTAGCTCCAAATACTACTTCTACCTGGTGAATGACCTCGGAGCGCTACAGTACTCACATCGCTTCCTTTTCTGCAAAGGTGCATAAAAAGCATTATCCTTTCAGTTTTCTTCCTGAATTAGAGGTATAAAAGCTTAATCGACGGCCATAGAATATTGAATATTTTACGAGATTATTTACAAAATTATGCCTGACTGTGTACAAGTGTTAAAATCAAAATAAACAAACTTTATTAAAAAAAGTCAGAAAATTCGGCCCGAATTCTACATGCCTTAACTTAATAGTTTTGCTTGTTTTTATGACAATGCTGACTCGTTTGTCTTTCAGCCCCACAGTTTCGAGCAGCCTATTTGTTTATTACCAGGTCGGGATGCCGTTGACTTATGGAATTGATGATGATAGAGAAGAACTCTCTGCGGACGTTATTCAGTTGAACAATATCGTGTTGTCTTTGCGTCGCCTCATCAAGAAAGGTCGAGTATCAGTTCTTCGTGAACTTGCTTCTTGTATTAAAAGGCAAAAATTGAAGCAGTCTAGGGCTCCTGAGGAGAAGGGGAAACGGTTAGGCCGTAAAATCGTCAACAAACTAGCTGAAATCCGGCTTTTGAGAAAGATAAGCGATATCAAGTTGTGCAAACTAGTCTTGTCGAACATGAATCCTCATTATTTGGTTGGTCTTCCTGCCTTTGTATGATAGTTTTTCCCACGACACTTATCATTTTTACGAAATCCGGTTTTTGTAGCTTGAAACTGGTGGAGAGAACTTGACCATGCAGGATCGTGTAGTCATACGCCTTGCGGCCCGGCCTGAAATCTCTGAGTTCATAAGAAACTTTCGCACTCAACATACGGACTGGCCGATCCTGGTTCGGTATTTATTGTATAAAAACACCTCAGGAAAGTGGAAGACATCGGACCAGAAAAGGAGACCTAACAAGCGGCGTAAAGGCGATCTTCCCTTTCCTTTGGTTGATCCGAAAGAGGTCGAGTCGAACCCTAATGCCTCTACCATTCAGGAGTATGATATTTCCTTATATTACTTTATCTCCCAATGGTGACTGCATTTCATCAATTGTGCTTTGGTCCCATGCTTTGCCTTTTTTTTGCTCCCTAACAATAGCTGATTGAGAAAGTACCGATATTGTAGTGGACTTGTTATTTATGCTTCTCACAGATTTTCGAAGAACTCCATTAATTTTTTGTCTCGGCTTGTAGCTTTTATCATGCCTTTTTCAGATTCAGGGAATACAAGGAGAAAAATGATCGTGAGCTGCTAGCTGCTCAGAGGCGACTTTTGCTTGAAGATGCAGAGGACGAAGACAGAAAGTTGGAGAATAAGAGAGATGGCAAATCAGAGAACCCCAACAGCATTTACTTTGACAATTCCGAAATGAAAGTTTTTATCAGTGATCTGATTGCAAAAATGGAAAGTGAGGGTGATATTGATGAGTATTTGGTTCCTGGCGGTGGAGATGACGATGGTGGAATTCCGACTGAGGCCGTGAGGACTGGAGTGGCGGAGTGTTTAGCGCCGTTGACAGATGAGGCGGCGGATTTAGCTGCTCCACCAAACAGCAGAGGGCGTGAGGTGAAAAAGATGGCGAAACCTCCGGTAAGCTGTGCAATTTTTCTCTAGGAATTTCGCATGCGTGTACATTTTAAAGGATGTTTCGACTGAAATCCGTGGGGGTACAAAATCCAGTTTTCGATGGAGTTGTAGTAGAGTTGTGCATGAACCGTGGGCACACCTATCCTTTGACGCAATTGAGCTTCACCTTGACTAGAATTTATGCATCAGATTAACGTTAAAAGACCGCGCAAATGTTTTGTAGTTGTTTGGATCATACAAAATTTTCTGTATCTGCTGCTTTTGATGGCTTGAATATCCTGGTTTTTAGTTTGTCAGTTGAATTCTCTTACTCTGATTTCCAATCGTGTCTCATGGTATGGTAATTGTCTGTTATTTTCTCGCTTTCTTAGGTGAAGAAAATACCTAAGACGCGTGATTCGCTACCGAGGCTTATGGATAAATCGGTAGATTACGGGATTGTGGCCGCTCCCTTGAATTCTGTAGGCCGTAGGACTGTTAACATACGACCTATTTTTCTGTTGGATTTGCCTTTGATTATTTCTACCTAGCTTCCCGATAGATTTTTGCAAAACAACATAAAATCATCGATGTCTGGCACGCGGCATTGTAGTCTACCCATCAACGGTCCATAAGCTGCATATTTTAACCTGTTTATGGAAGCCTAACCCTTCCTCTTTCTCATTAACGTTATTCTAGTACGTACTTATGTCATCATAAGTAACAGTTCAGTACGCATTCGCTACAATTTCGCCATTTTGTTAGTTGATTTTCAATTGAATAACAATTAACCTCATTCCAAAAAAACATCTACAATGTGGTCACTAGTGATGTTAGCTCTCTGCATGACAATGCAGCCCTGTTTTTGTGGTCTCCAACATCCTTAAGCATGGCGTATGGTGTTGGACAATTAAAAGCTCCACATCTTGTGGCATTCCTTTTCTACCTCAATGCGGTGTTTGGAATGGGTAGCTCGCCCTCCATCACTTCGCCACTCCATGTTGTCATTTCCGGATCTATGACTCATTGTTGAAGAAAGAATGCGTTTTTCTTATCACTGTTACTGTGGCACTTTTTCATCATCATATTTGCATCCAGCTGTTTGTGGTGAATGAAATTAGTAGCATTGATACCATTTGTCATTTTTTATTGTGATTAACTTATCATCCTGTTTGTGATGGCAGAACTTTGTCTTTTCCTGCGTACCACTAGTGCCTGGCTCTACTTATTTATTCTTATGAAAGTAGAATTTATGGACCTATTTGTCACGCCTACAATGTGGATTCGAATATTGACAGAAGTGTCCTCCTCATCCATAGAACTCACCACCGCTTACGAATGGCATTATGGCCTGACAAAGTTGTGCTGATGTCGAATATTTTGTCCCCGATGCAAAACACCGCTCAGTTGGTTCGGCTACCGGGTCACTATTTAGACTGATTAAATGTACTGCAAGGTCAGTTCATTGTCATGGACTCATTTGTGGCGAACCGACAAGTGCCTAGGCGCAGTGATTCTTGCCGTTCTTTGTCCGAGGAAAAAATTTTGGTTAAAAATGGATGCTTTAAGCCCTTCATTACCCAGGAAGTTGTAAATTCTTGTTATAGACGTGGCCGACATCAATTAGCTACTATTCGAATGATGAAAAGGCTAACCTCCGTCATCGACAGCATAGTTTTCTGCTGACATTCTTGACTCATACAAAGGGCACTAAACTTGCTGTGTAGATGTATGACACACTGTTTTTTTTTTCATCAGAAGACAGATGCCAACGGCGTAACACACGAAACTATCGTTGAAGAAGTTGGCAATGTCTTTAACCAACAGGATACAGAGAACATTCTTGGTCAAGATGATGTCGAAATGCGAAAAGAGGTAAGCCTCATCTCCCATTTAATTAATGTTGGTGATCAAACTTGCAGCCTCAATGTTGGCGAACCGAGACGTTCCAGTCTTCGGGACTCGCTACTGTTGTTAAACCTCTCATGGAGGCCCTCCAACCCCATACCTGGCATGGTAAGGCCTCTAAACTGTATCCTGTGATCGGACCGTCTGTGCAACGGCGGCAGAGAACGAAGCGTTCGACCTGCCGTCAAACCGTTTGTGCTAATCGTACGAACTCTGGCTATCAGTGTAGTTTGAAATACACCATGTCCAAGTGTAAGCCGCTAGCCGACACTAGCTATGGCAGCGTACAATATGTTCCGTCCCTTCCCAATAATTACTCAATGATGTAAAGGGAATCACGTAGCCCCCTAATCTTGAATGTCGCCGCGACACAAGCAGATGACAACAAAATAGCATCGGTCATTATTGCGGCTAGTCCCATGGAGAGAAGATTGCAAACAGCTAATCTCTCCATTTCAGATTCGAGAACGGAGAGTTAAGCTGGGAGGAGCCATCGCTAAGGGACGAATATCCCACCGACGACAAGTGCGAAATTTTCGGCCGAGTTATGTTGGGCCCGCCCACCGTCACAGTCCAACCAAAGACAAAACTGAGACACCATTGCATCCCTCATGGGCAGCAAAACGGGAGCAAAAAGCACTCCTTTCAAAGACTCCTGTCACCGGAACCAGAATCGTTTTCAGCGATGAGTAAACTGGAGAACAGACACCAAATTTGTAAATAAAGATCCTGCTGAAACTTGTGATCACGTTCTTCTAACCCGCATATTGCGAAATCTGGGTAGTACCAAACGTAAGGAAGACCACCAGCAGCATCCGGAAGCAGTAAACTATCTATTGACTCTCAAAAACAAAAACAATACCGAGTGGACCGAAGTGCAAAAAAGTCGATGGATGATAGGGACCCAGTACGGGCAACAAGCTACTTATGGTTAATGCTATGGAAAGTTTGGTAATACATCAAAACACCGGAAAACGCGCGATTATCACTCATTCCAACTAGGCGGGAACCGAATTCTCCAAACGTTCGTTCATGGGTTTTTTGTTCTTGTAGGTGTTATAGTAGATCAGCATTTTCTTAATCTCACCAATGGCCTTGCCGGGATTCAATCCCTGAAAACAATAGCCACGAATATTATTAGTCCCAAACAAGTAAAACACTAAAGATAGGACTGAAAACAAACCTTAGGACACGTTTCGGTACAGTTCATGATTGTGTGGCAACGATACGTGGACCACTTATTCTGCATCTGTTCCAAACGATCAAACGTATAGTCGTCTCGGGAGTCAATCATCCAACGGTAGGCTTGTTGCAAGACGGCGGGACCGAGATACTTATCGGAATTCCACCAGTAAGAGGGACATGAAGCGGAACAGCAAAGGCAAAGAATGCACTCATACAACCCATCAATCTTTTCGCGATCCTTAACCGACTGCATAAAAACCTTCTCGCCAACTTGTTCATCGGTAAATTCCTTCTTCTTCAGATAAGGTTCGATCCAGCGGTATTGCGCGTAGAAGTTCGCCATGTCAGGCACCAGGTCCTTCACGACGTACATGTGTGGGAGAGGGTAGACTTTAGTGACCTTGTTACCCTTTGGAATAGCACAAAGGCACGCCAGACGGTTTCGGCCATTAATATTCATAGAACAGGAACCGCAGATACCCTCGCGACAGGAGCGACGAAAGGTTAAAGTCGGATCGCACTCGGACTTAATTTTAATCAAGGCATCAAGCATCATGGGACCACAATCACTTGTGTCGATTTCAAAAGTCTGCATATAGGGTTTTTGATCAGGCTTATCAGGATTCTAAAAAACCAGAAAGGAGAAGTATCAAAAACAGAACAACATTCAGCAGTAAGAGTAACAATAACAACAGCGACAATACTCGATCGAGTCGACGAACAACGTGTTCGGAACTTACATATCGGTATATTGAGAACTTCTTCATTGCAGCGCCAGTGCTAGCATACCTGATGGTCTGTCCAATGAGACACCCAAAGCGAGGCGAAAAAGCCACAATCGAGTTCATGTTCTTTGCGAAACTAAATGGAGCTCCAACTCATAACCTAGACAATTTAAACAAATCAATTGTTTGCAAAACATCATCATAAAACTACGTGCTTAGCATTAAAATTGTAATAAAAAACGCAAGTATAAAAATTGAAAAGTATTATTAAGACCATTGCTAGCCTTAACAAGTTTTGCTTAAGACAAATTTATTACTGCAAGCTCGATTTAAAGAAATGCTTTTGGCAAGACTTTGCTAATCCTAGTAAATGATTTTTCCTTACGTTACCTTAAAGTTAATTAATTCGACTACAAGAAGGGGCTTTGTCTTAAGAATGTCAATTTTCATTGTTGAAAAAAGGCTCTTACTACAAAGGAAGATGAATAATAATACTGGTGAACCCAATTTGAGTTTAGTTTACCTAATATCTTTTCAGCTACCCAAAACTTCCAACTAAGTGGAGGAAGGCAATAAGTGGGGCTGGATATATGCATTACGAAGACGACAGGACAACTGATTCTGAGCATGGCCCGAAGACCAGCCTACATGTACAAGGGCCAGACAAATCCTAAAGTGACCGCCATACACCATGCGGTCACATAAACGAAGCATTACACTGCCTCTCTGTTCTTTTGCGGGACGTCCTCGGCACTCCCCTTGGTACACCTCCCGCACCTGCCATCACAACATATTCCGTACTACATGAAAGTACCCACGAGCCAACCGCGCCAGTCGACAGGCAACACGAGACTGAGGAACCGTATCTGGTCTCATCGGCAGTTTCAACTGCATCTGGAGTTGCGTTCGGTCTGACAACCGGATTCGGAGCCTCATACACCCGTTGACCATCAATTGCTTCCAGGCAGAGACGGTGTAACTCTGGTCTGCAACATATATGTTACAGGAAAAACGGGATAAGCCACTTTCCCGTATGTATGGGTTACCGTAGTGTCATTTCCGACATGTATACACCGATTTTATAGGGGAAATTCCAAAGCGAGACATTTCCAGATTGTTCATGGCGGTGTCGCTTCAGTTGCTAAAAGTTTGTCTTTGGAGCGCGGTAATAATGTGAAGCCAAATACAGACGTCCGTCCAAATCCTTTGGTTGTGGAGGATTCAGGGATTCTCCGTCGCCAATGTAAATGCGTTTTCTTCAATTCATGTCCTCTTTTCACCTGCATATTCATATATTGCACCTCGAAGTTGTCAGACTTCGTTCTGCGCAGGTATAACTCATGGTTGCCAATCCACTACTCCGAAATGCGCTTATTAATCTTTGATTTCTCCACTACGAAGTAGAATTCCTTTGCAATCTTGTCTGCTGGTTGGATTGTGAACTTCTTGTTGAGAAAAAAAGAGGTTTCAAATTTCCGGCCAATGGAACCCGATTTTGGGACATCTGCATGTATTGAATCAGTACATCATTCGATCGAACCGTTGCTCGTCAGCTCGTTCGTGCTGCTCTTTTTTTCGGAAACCAGTCAATTAATTGGCAAAGTTTATTAACACAATCACAGGATGTCATTATGATGGCGGTGTCTGTTGAACAACAGATTTTACCGTACGCCATGGCGATTTTAACAAACGACCGTCGAAGAACAATCGGCAAGGAGAGACCCCACCACGGCTGGATCAGAAGGTCTTCGAAAGCACTTTATACGTGAATGTCGTTAAAGGAGAATGTTGGGTTCGCTTTCTGCTGTCACCAGTGTAGCGGTCCGAGAATTCCTAGCCGGTATAAGAAGCCAGTAAGTGCAGCTGGATACATATTTTCCGAAGACGACAGGACAAATGAGTCTGGACGTCGTAGCTCGAAGGCCAGTCTACGAATACGGAGGCCAGACAAATCCTAATCAAAGCATTGCAAGGGATAACGGAGAAGTAGTAGAGTTTTGGCTTAACTTGAGGCTCAGCCCACGCAAATAATGGCAAAATTTTACCATTGTGACCACCAATTGTACAGGTGGTCGAATAAACAATGCATTACATTACTTCTCTCTTCCGTCGAGGGACGTAAATGGCGTTTTCCTCGCTACACCCCCACGCCAACCATCACCACATATCCGGTACTGTTTGGAAGCACCGACGAGCCGACCACATCAGTAGTAGTTAGCTGTTTCATATTTACCTGCAGCAATCGCGGTCGGTATTCATTGTTGAACATCAATTGTGGTTGCGTGAGAAACTTTGGAATACCGGTGTGAAACACATTCATAAGGGGAAAGCCTCGATTCGCCAGTCGTGTATGCAATCGAGTTCAGCGCAGTATCGCCGTCGACGGTAGTGCGCGAATGCGATGAGGCGAATTCCCTTCTGATGGTTTGCGGACGTGTTGATTCAGCCGTTACTAGCTTACCTGTCCAAGTCGGTGTTATGGTTAATGTCAAACGTAATTATCTTCCTCAACCCTTTTGGTGTGAGGAAGTTGAAGATTGTCCCCCCTTCCCCCCTCCTGCCTCTCCTAGAAGTATGTGCTCTTTATCCGCGCCGCAGTAGTTTGTTCTATGCATTAAAGACCAGGATGGGTGTCGCAACATATCCAAATTTGCCTTTCACCTCCAATCATTCCTTTTACTCAATTTTTACAGTTGCTTACATCCTCTTTTGGTCACGATCCGCTCAGCGTTAGGGGATGACATCCTGAGGTCCTGAAGTATAGTTTAAAAGGGTTAGTTGACACGGCTGAATCTCGTATGAGCAGCGAAAATCACGCTCACCTTTTGAAAATAACAATAGGGCCATCTCCTTTGCCTCACTTGATCCCCTTTGAGGTGACCTCAGGTACTTTTCATTCACAGAGCCTCTAGTGCATTTTGAATATACTAGAGGGGTGGTGGATTCATTTTTCGGCATTGTAGTGGCACTGAGGCTCTCATCTTCACAGACAGAGTGTCAAACTGCCCTCAAATATACCTCAATTGTCCGCGAATCATTTTGCGAAGGATATTACCCACATTCCTTGAAATGTATCTGCATTATTGTTTTTATTTTGGATAGCTTACTTGGATGCATTTCGCAAGTACATTCCTTTCGTACACAAGATAAACATGAATGCTTACATGGGATGTTGAAGGCTGGCCTCATGGCCTCATTTAGTCTCGTCACGTGCTCTATCGCCTTGTGATTCCACGCTTCAGGGCTGCAGAGGGCAATAAAGCACATCGCCCCAGTCTCCAGGGTTCGGAAAATATTTTAGCCACGTTAACTCTGCAGCTCTGCACTCATCCAGCTAAAGACCCCTATTCATATCCCACTTTCCTTGAGGAAGGCGCTTTGTGAATAATTGTAATTCCTGGAGGTGTCGGTCGTCCAATCGTGAATAAACTCCTATTCAATTTGCTATCTTTGATTATGGGAGAATGTGAAATCCGTAATACCACAGGTTTTCACCCAGCGATTCCAACTTACCGTGCCTTTAGTCATCGATTTCATTCTCGATGCTCGACAATAAATGCAAAAAAGGAGCATTTTTATGAGTTTACCTACAAGCCTGTTCCCTGTGAGATCGTTTCCATGCATCATTCAATGCGTTACAACCTTTGTAGAAAATATGAGGTTAGGCTGCATCGCTCAATGTCACCTGAAACAGACTAAGAAACCACCTTGACCCGTGTATGGAGTGGTCTCGAAGTTCAGATGGAAGTTCAGTTTTCGGAAATCCAGTAACTCTCCCGACACTTTGCCAAAAGAGGATGGGCACCCCTGATATTCGCTGCGAATTTGGCCACTTCGGTGCGACAAAGACAACTGAAGATACGGAATTTGGGCCATGGGGTGAAGTTGCGAGGCCAATGCCTAGATTTCCCTCATACAGGTGGATCCCCTGAAGGACTCTCAGCCCCTTCTTTCGTTGTCGACGCTGTCCCGCACAAAATACTTAGCCAACCCCGATTACTATTTGAAATGCGTATAGCAAAATAGGAAACGTGGGACAATTCTGCCAAGGAAGGAAAAAATTTAATTAAACAAATCTCTCAATCAGGTAGAATAGTGATCAGTTTCGATGTGAAAAACTACCCTCATTTCCCGAGGAAGTGGAAAAACATTGAAAGGTGAAAAAAGGGAGCAAAAAAACATTTTTTAATATTTTTGATTATATCTATAAAAGATTAAGACGTCAAAATTGCATCATGAAGTCGGCTCAGAAGGGGACAGAGATTCCAATCGATCATTCATGGGTTTCTTGTTTTTGTAGCTGCTGTAGTAGAGAAGCATTTTCTTAATCTCAGCTATGGCTTTGCCTGGATTCAGTCCCTGACAAAACAAACAAAGTATCAATTCCTCTTACGTTTTAAACGAGGAGATAATGAGGGGAAAATTAACATACCTTGGGGCACGACTCCGTACAATTCATAATGGTATGACAACAATACGCTGACCAACCGTTCTGCATCTGCTGTAGACGCTCAAAAGTAAAGTCATCACGAGAATCAATCAACCATCGGTAGGCGTGCAGCAACACAGCCGGACCGAGATATTTCTCCGAGTTCCACCAGTAAGAGGGACAAGCAGAAGAACAACAGAAGCAGAGAATACATTCTTGCAAGCCATCAAGTTTCTCGCGATCTTTAAGGCTCTGCAAGAAGACTTTCTCGCCAATTTGGTCGTCTGTAAAATCCTTCTTCTTCAAGTAGGGTTCAATCCAACGAAACTGAGCGTAAAAGTTGGTAAGATCGGATACTAGGTCTTTGATAACAAACGTGTGTGGAAGAGGATATATTTTAGTAACACTACTGCCCTTGGAAATTGGATTAATGCAGGCTAAACGATTTCGACCGTTGATGTTCATGGCGCAGGAACCACAGATACCCTCACGACAGGAACGACGAAAGGTAAGTGTCGGGTCACACTGAGCTTTGATCTTGATTAAAGCATCCAACACCATCGGACCGCAATTATTTGTGTCAATTTCAAAGGTCTGCATGTATGGTTTCTGCTCAGGCTTGTCTGGACTCTAAAAAATGGGAATACAACACAGTGTTAAGAGCAGATATAAAAAAGAGAATTTTGCGTAGCTACAACCCTAGCACAGGATATTACAAACTTACATAACGGTAGACAGAAAACTTCTTAAGTGCACGATTCGTACTGGCATACCTAATGCCATGTGCAAAAAAATTGCTAAGGTGTCTCGTGAAAGGAGGAACAGCTTTCATACTCCCACCATATGTATAATGTACTTTAGGTCACCAACGTGGTAGGTATTAACAAAATATCATTTATTACTTTTGCTGTCGTTTATTACACTAAGTAAATTAGCATTGTAAAATTTGTACTATGATACAGCAATTGTTTTTTAGTCTTTGCACTTAGCTTTTTAATTATTAATAAAACTGAACAGACATCTGATAGAATTTAATTGTTAACTTGATAAACTTTATTTTGCCATATATTTTTTTGATTTTTTACCCGGTACTAGACACGTATCCTGGTATTCTTTTATTGCTGTTTTTAGAAAACTCAAATCAGAAGTTACAATATGCAGTGTTTTCCGTTTCAATGATAATGATACAACGACTGGAGTGTTATCACTATTTAAATGTGTGTCCTCCCGGGTGTCGTTTTGCGCATATGGGAATTCTTCGCAGGTTTTCCTATTTTGCTTTACTTATATATGAAGTTTATTAATATTTTTGATTCCGTGGTTGTATTTGCCGGTTTTATGCCCGGTTTGTTATGCGGGTTGTCGAAGGGAACTCGATTTCCACGTAAAAAATCCATCGTGGTCAGTTCGCAATAGGAATATTTTCGTTAGAAGGTAGCGTTCGTTGCTTCATTTTTGATACCTAGGTGGCGTAAAGGTCTGCAGCTGCTGTATCTATCGGATGAGACCGACTGGCCATCCCTTTTGCGATTTCGTAACATGCTGTATTCGGTACGCTTAATCGCCTTTGCGTTCGTATGTTATCTTCACACTTGTATATCAGCTTGTGGACGCTTTACTATGAAGAAATGCTCCAATTTATGCTCTTTAGCGCTAGAATCAATGCCATTCCTTTTATGTTTATTTCTAACCTATCTTATTACCTGCCTTGTGTGCTGTCTTCATATTTCACTTTTCCTGTCTGTTTTTCCCTACCTTTTTGAAGCCTCCTGAAACCCGGGAGAAAAGGTTGGCTGACAATGTTATTTCCGCACCGAAAATTTTATCACCATCTCAAACGTCACCCATAAACGATGGTACTTTGCCTCCAATGGACGAGTCTGTCGTGAACGAGCTTTCGCAGCCTAATATGCCCACCTTTCAGGAATTTCATGCTAAAGTTCTCGGTGAAAATCAAAACAAACGCCGTCTTGGTAAACTTTTTTTTTCTGCGTCATCGAATGTCACTGTAGAATCACCAGAAGACTCTGTTAATTTAATCTTGGGTCAATCATTCAAGGACAATGTTGGAACCGCCGCAAACTCTAATCTCTCTAAAAACCCCTATCGGAGTGACGAGGGTGTCCCACATACCTCCTCTGACCCCACTACGGCAAGCAGTGACGCTGCCACGCCGATTCCGCATTCACCTGGAACTGATACCTTTGTAGCCACGTCTGATTTTATCTTTCCCTCAAATGTCATGGAGAACGGAGGAAACGGAGGTGCTAATGGTAAACGAGTACACAGCACGGGTCAAGAGCTTCGAGTTATGCGGAATATTGCTGCGTCAGAATGTGGGGCCAAGCTTCTTGAAGCCAGTCCTTCTGCTAAACATGCACCTGCGATTCTGGTAGACAATAATGACGAGTATATGAACCAGCCTTGCTCTTCGGAGAAGTGGTATGTTAACCTACTGCTCTAGGAAATGCTGGTCAGTTTAAGGGATGTCGTTTTTCGCTCTTTACCTCACAGACTACGTACCTCTGAAGCCATTTCAGGGAAAATTAATGTAATACGGCTCATGTTTGGGTCTGTAATATAGGTTTGCGCTGATCGCATCCTCTTTTGGCGCGACAAGTTGTTTTGGACCAACATTTATGTATCAAACAGTTCTTAACTTTAGCGATGTTTATTTCACTGTGTTAAAGGAGTAAGAATAAGGTAGAATACTTTACTGCTCCTCTCCCATGTTTACCTTCTTTTACGAGATGCGTTTTCAATTCTTGTGTGTATTTGTTGAGGTTATTGCCTATTTGAATGCGGGTTAAGTGGTATGCTAATTACTAAAAGTCATTAAAAGCAAATTGGAGAGGCTTATTTCATCGTTTCCTCGCAAGCGGCAGCCTTTACGGTGGCTCTGCTACTTTGTCACACAATCAATTTTAAATATTGTTTTATTCTATAAAATTCACTCTTCGTGGCGAATGTTATTGAGTAGGTTGCGCTTTCCTTTTTGTTTAACCTCCAATATTTATTTTTCACGATTGACATCTTTGCTGGCCAGCATAACTCCTCCATGCGTCTGCATAGCACTTAATTTACATGAACTTTTCTTTCATAGGAAAAAAGGAAGTAGGAAATGTGCTTTCTAGTTATCTGTAGTAGTCTGAAGACATTGATTTTTTGGTGGACTAGCTGGCATACTATCCGGCGCAACTGGTGAGGTGGTAAGATGGGAATGTTATCAACTGGTGGACGCCGCAATCAATGTAGTGTATTGCCATAGCGCAGACGTTGAGTTCACAGTTAGTCCAATGAACTGGCGGGTGATTCCGACCAATCTTCACCATAGGTCACCTGGTCACGGTTTGAGTAACTGGGTTTCGATTGTAGGTTTAACGAACTGACAGATGGGTGATTCATCCCTTCGTTTCTTCATTGCACTCATTACTAATGTCACTTGTTTTCGTCCGCAACCGCACTAGCTTTGCGAATTTGTTGTTGTGGTTAAGTGGGGTGTTCTTTTACCTCCGTGCGTCGGTCCAGCCCGTTTTATTTCTTATCGGGACTGGGAAAAAAAGATTACAGGACGGTAGAGCAGCTGGTCATCCAAAGCAACCTCGAAGCATAGTTCAGGCCATTATTTTAGATTATCGTTAAGCGTTGAGTGTCATCGAAAGGTAATCATAAATTTCCATTAAGTGCCGTTTCGTACTGGATTCGTAACCGATTTAGCTACCAAAGTGCGCTCCCCATGTCATTGTTACCTGAGCTTCTGTATTCAGGTTATTTCCTTCCTCACCTGCAATTTAGGTTTATAATCGAGACATGCGAACCGGTACAACTGGGCATCATCCAAATCGCCAACTACGAACTTTTTTCGTCGCGCTGCAAGACATTCCGCGTCTTTGTCAGCGATAGGTAAGTAGAGGAAAAGTATTTAAGCTTCTTTTCTCGACCAAAACCTATTTTCCACCATGAAACGGTGATGAATTTTTCCCTCTCTTGTTGGTAAAATGGCTAGACTAAAAGGAAGCGTTGATAGTATTACCTTTCATTCTGTCTTGCAGCTGAGGTATCTGCCTTACCAAGCAAAGTTTAACCGTTTTTTATTTCTCTGAGAATGCGAGCAATATGCTTTATAATCCCGAGGTAGAAATGCTCAATTATTCTTCTATTTTATGCCATGATCAAGACTGCACCCTCTATTGCACGTGTGTTCGATAGCGTTTCCCACTCTGTTACCTTACGGCACCAAACGACCGTATGCGACGGCAATGGCGGTCTCTTAATGCCATTTCTAAGGGGGTGGTCGAAAAATCATCCCTCGTACCAATAATTCTTTGAGATTTGCATTTTATTGGGTAAGGTACACTAAGGGTACTCTACTATTTCTTCTCCTCCTTGGAAGGGCCCCCTGCCCTTTGAGGTAACAACGATTTGCTTGTCCTCTTACTTTGGGTACAATGGAAAACATTCGAGATTAAGGCGTGCAGTTTAACCTGGAGACATGTTTATGCACTGTTTTATCATCAAAGCGGCATGTGTTTTCATGTCTGATTTGTTTACTTACGGAAGACAAAATCTTTTAACCCGAGGTCTCTCACTTCAGCTCAGCGGGGTGCAGAGTAAATCAGTTTTATGGAAAGAGAATTAGCTTGAGATAATTTCTACACCTTACTGAAGCCTAGTCGGGGTGCCAGTTGCCTCAACCTCACCTCTCACGTTCCGTCAAGTGACCATTATCAACTCCCTCGACATCGGTATTTCACAAGGTTTTGAGGCGCCGAAACGAAACGAATTTGACTTGGCCTCTGTTACTTTTTTCCCTCACCATTGGCATATTTACGTGATTGGAGCTCTTGAGCAATCCGCTTTGCGTGGATATGTACATCTGCTTTGCAGAGGATCGCGCCATCATAGTTGGTGGATCTTTATTATGTAATATCGCTCCTAAGTATGACTTCTTGACGCTGCGGAACTGTTTTGCTTCCTTGTCTTCTGGTCTTTTTTCTTTTTGCCCGTCACACGGACGTGATAGTCGCTTGCATCAAGGATGGAGCTTCAGAGTTGTGTTTCTATGTTGGGTGTAAATTAATGTTTATGTACTTCATGACTCGACTACGAAGTACATATCAGATTGCATTATGCATTGCCATGAAGTGGGTGGCTACATCTTCCCTCCTGCTTATTTTTAGAAATCGTTCATATTTCTACATTTTACCCTCCGAATTCCATGCTTGATGGGAAGGTGTAGTGCAGTTGGAAGTGTATTGTGAGATAATAAACTATGCCTACGTCTTTTGATTCCCTTTTTCTCGATAAATTTTGTCCTTGTGTGTTTTGTCGAAAGGGTGGCAGGGCTGTAGATGGTTTTTTTTTCAATTGAAAAGCGCTGACAGCCCTCTGACATTGTACCAGGGCAGCTTCGATGAACAGAGTGGAGTTTATGGTGTTTTTAGACTTCTGAAGCACTCCGCATCTGCAATATCTTGAGGCGAAACTTACGTGATCGTCTTTGAAGCTACTTTCGGCTCAGCGCCATCAAACTGCCCACTTCAATTGGTGTTTCAAACGAGACTAGTCATTGATCTGTTTTCAAGCTGTATTGTTTGAAACTTGGGGATTTAATTCAGTCACATGTTTTATGATGAAATAAGGGAGTGCGTATCTAATTATGTTTTTTGAGCATTTCAACTGGTTTTTATTCCGATCTGATTTGATGGGAGTTTGTCAGTTCAAAGGCAAGGAATTCTGTTTTCCTGTCCAACAATTATGCTTGTGAGAAGTGGATATGAAGGGGGAGGAGGAATGCAAATGGGAAATCAGACATCGCTTGATCTCCCTCCCTTCGCCAAAGCTAGGGAGCGAGAGTTTGTAATGGTAAACATCATTCTTCACTGTGAATAATTACAAATACTTTTTTTCGTTTAGCCACCTTGACTTTTGGCAGAACGTTTCAGACTTAAAGGTCAGGGGATGGGGCTGATCGCATATTACGGCCATTTGAATCCACGCTTATTTCTCTCAGAACATCAGTATTGGTGGTCATCCAGTCCATTTCTAGAAAACCACTTTCGTTTCTCTCGTACGAATCGCATCCTGTTTGGGAGTCGCATCTCTTTTTCACCATCAAGCCTTTGCATGGATCCATCAACCGACCACCATAAGCTTGCGTTCCATCTGCCTTTATACGTTGTAGATACCCAGCAAAGCAATGGGAGCAGATTGGCGTTTTTCAGGGTCAAGACGTGAAGGGCTTGCAGACTTTTCACATCAGCGGCTCCACAACCGGCCGTCTTATTAAATACGTCAAGGTGAGTTCTTATCCTGCGTCGAAACCGATGTCGAAAGTGGTCATGTTGCGAGATTTGAGCATTTCTTTTGGTTTGTTTGCGCCTAGTTCGAGATGCTCGATCACTATGGAAATGAGCACTTCTGCCCTATTACAATGGTGCGTCTTTTCGGTCTCAGTTCGGATGAAATGGACGAGCCTGGACTTCCACCGCCTCCGCTATCACGTTCCTCTCCTCCTGGTGACCTTGATACTACCTTAAAGGAGTCGGACGGTGAACTCGAAGGTGTGTAAATCTAGTAGCTTGGCTTTCCTCCGTTTGCTATTCGTTCACTGATTCATCAATCCGTTTTATCGCCTTCACCACACCAGGGAATACCAACACTTCATTGTTGAACAAAACTCGCGTTACGACATCCATAGACGTGCAACCGTCGACTAAGGCGACCAGCCCTACTGCTTCAAAAAAACAGTCAGGGCAGAAGAAATTCAAGAAGAAGAAGAAGAAGTCGACAAACCTACTTGACCCTCCAGTCAATGGCAGCTCATTTGCTGAAGAAGGTAAATGGTGATGATGATGAGGAGGAGGAGGAGGAAGAGGAAGATGTTGGTTCTTGTTATGCATTTCAGGTGCGGTCAAAGGTGTATTTTCTCTTCCGTTTTTCAGTTGAAAAAGGCGACTGTTTGAAGGGCCAGACGAACAAAGTGACGACGACGACGACGACGAAGACTAGCTCGAATAACTCAATTGGTCTGTGGCAGCATGCAACGCGTAAGATTGTAAACGTTGAAATCAACTCCCTTTTGGAGTGTTCTGTTAAGAGAGAAACAAACTCACCTAAAACCTATTTGAGATGATTTGGCCTTTCGGTAGGTCAAGTCAAGTTTGGTTCCGCCTTGCCCCCAGGCCTCATCATTGCCCTGGCTAACGCTGTCCAAAGAGAATTTAGACCTTTTCTCTTTTTCTGATTGTTTTAAAACAATATGATGTTTTCCTTCTTTTCAACTTCTTCCTAAGGCTTCATCTTGGGCGTTCTGCAAAGCGCTATCGGTAGTAAGAGCTCGCTGAAACTTCAACAGGGTAAGTTAATGTGTCCTCGATGTGTGTATATGTGTGGGTTTGTATTTTGTTGCGGCGGTCTCCTTATCTCCTTGCATTTCCCCACTCCCCATCCTCTTGGCCCCCAAAGCGTGATGAGTGATCATCTAATGCTAAAGTAGGTGAGAGCAGAGACTTGAAAGGATTAATGCAAGTGAATAAATTGAAGGGTGCAATTTCTCCATCTATCTGGCGATTTAGACAGGCGGCGATGGATGAATTAGTCGTGGATACGTGGGTGGAACATCTATGACAAAATTCCCTCTTTTCTCTGCTTTTGTGTGTGCTTTAATTTTGCGCCATTCTGCCGGGACCATCTTTTGTGTCAATCACGAAATCTACTTGCTGTTTAAGCTCTCACCACTAGGTGGTCTTCTTATGCTTCCTCAAACTCCCAGAGGCTAATGTTTGAATGGGGTTGTTTGGAGCAAGCAAACGGGTGACTCAATGGATCATGAAGCTGTCATATGGTGAGCTTCATGCCATAAGAATGAGGGAGTGGAGCAGCGAAAGGCTTCTTTTATGGTAGGAGTCTATTGACGGTTGAATGGAGGAGCGCTACTTTAAACTCTGGAGACTGCTGAATGAGTAATTTCGCCTCCCTTGCTTCTGTGTCTTCAGGACTTGTGAACTTGTCGGGAACTTGAGTCTATCTGCTTCCTACTTTGAGGTGATCTTGTGGACCACCACCACTCCTAATCTGCAGATACCCTCAACATGAGACGTACAATCGTTTACTTGGCTGTGTCGAATGCTCAGTTCCAAGGCTATAAATTGAAAGGGTTAACAAGCTCATCTCATTTGCAGCTCTCTTGGGTCGCTGTTGACTCGCAAGTCCCGTGGCTTCTTGACTTTGCCTGTCACTGAGCACTTTGCAATTCCCATGCTCTGAGTAATTCTTACCTGCACAGACTTCAACGTTCGTAATATCAGTGTCTTAATGAGGTTTTCATTTTGCCCTCTCTACGAGGCCATTAGCCATGTCAGATCTGTGAGAAATGCCACTCAGTTAACTGAGCGCCGTGCCATCGGCACTCCACTGAAGCGGCACAATCCACCCACCAATTCACCTGTTACTAGCAGGAAAGCGGCTTCAGGGGTGGAGAATCCAATTTTTGCTTCGACCTCAACAATGTGTGACTGAAAGTAACGATAATGTGGCAGTTTGTATGCACCCTTTGGTCACATTTTATCGCCTTAGGATGCACTGAGACATGAGTTAATTTGAAAGCGTTGAATTAATTGCCACAAATTACACTCCAACTTTGACCTCTGCTGCACTTTGTACGCACAGTTGAACTTATGCCATTTCATTCACCTTAGCGTTCCTGCAATGCGCGAAAAATGGCCTCACTGAAGCACGCATGTAATATTTCACCGACCTCTCGAGTTGCGCTGATATGATGAGCTATCGCCGGTGGGACAGGCGTCTGCCACTTATTGAAGCCTGGATTTGCAAACTGTTTTGCTTTTAATGTGACCGGCTGACCCATGCAAAAACTGGCAAGATCAATCAGGGCTACTGACCCAATGCGTTGATTGATACTCTATTCTTTGTCGTGCAGGGATTTCACTATTTGCTTGCATCCTTACTCCGTCTCTTCCCACTCTGTCACTCCTTGTCAAACGCCTTATTAAGTGATGCTTAATAATCTCCAAGTTTTGTTGTAACAATTGTATTCAGTGACTCACCAGAAATGCAATGCTCATCGACGGCTACGAGTGATTGTTTGCTCATGCTGCTTGCTGTTGCTGGTCCAAAGCTGGGAAACTTTTTGAATTAAGCGTTTTTTTCGTGTTTGAGGTAGTGGTGACAAATGTGTATTGAAAAGAGAAGCACAACTCTCACGATAACCTTGCTCCCATTTTTTACAGCCCCATCAACAGCCCTAACCAATCGCGCTGACCCTGTCACGTCCATAGAACCGAGTAGCGATGACTTTTACTCCGTAATCTACATATTCTCCGCCGCATCTTCCAACGCTGCCACACCACCCTCTACAGACGCTAAATCCCGCGGTCTCTGGCACCTTGCTCGTTGCCTTGTCGCACTCTCCTCTTCTCCGCTCCCTCATTCAGTGGTTGCATCTCATCATGCCTGGGCTGACTGTATTGCGACCGAGTTCCTTCTCAATCTCACGACCACTTCCTCCAGGAGTTCTATGAAATCCCTCCTTCAGTTTCAGCGTTGGGCTGCTGCATACCGAAACCTCACCTCTACATTTGGTAGATGGCCAGCATTCTTGATGAGGGAGCAGATGGGAAAGAACTTACCTGTGCCTGAGTTCTTGAAGCCACGCGTCAAACCGAATTTTGTAGCACCAACGTCTTCAATACCAGCGGTCATTGGTGCGGAAGCCTTGGAACAGGAAACTGTAGAACTGGTGCATAGAGGAGATTTTTTTCTCATTACATTGTTGTGTATTAACGCCTTATTGAACTTGACGAAAATTCCACACGCAGAGAAGTTGACTTAGGTGTTTCTTTGTCCGTTTAGATTATTCTATTGTCAATTCATTTCTTCCAGAGCACAACTGAGAAGTCTCCTTCTCCGATGGAATCTAAATCGTCTAGTATTTCCTCCAAGTCGTTACCGAAGTCACCAATGTCATCACCTAAAATGAATGTGGATTCTCACGAGGACGAAGAAATGTTGGAGGATGAAAACTTTTCCCCACAGCCCCCGTCACCATCACCATTGGGTCAAAGTGCGTCTTCCAAAAAAAAGGCCGACGAAGAGGTACCGGTGTTGGAAACCAACAAGGTCGTGACAGAAGCGACGGTCCCAGCTGATTCTCTACGGAAGCAGGATTCGGAGATTGAACTGGTGATGGCGGAAGGGATGGAAGGCGAACGAGAAGTGGTGCTGCCAGCAGCAATGGGTGGCTCTTGGAAGGAGACCATGTACATGCGTCTCAACAATAAGGTCCTTCAACTTCAATCTGACGTTTCCGTCAGCATGAGGTGCGTGAGTTCTAGTTAAGTCAATCCAAAAATATAAGTTTCTGTTAGGATGTCTCTCGGCGTTCCTTCCTATATCATCTACCGACTTGTCACTAAGGTGGTTGTGTAGTCCCACTTAATATTTAATTGTACGAAAATTAAGCTAATTTTTGACAGGTACTTGGAAGAGCTGAGTCAAAGCTATAAGCGTCAAACAGAGCGTTTGTCTGCGTCATTTAATCTCACAACCGCATGGTTGAAGGCCACGGCGAAGGGAGCTGAGGAGCGCGATCTGCTTCAGCAGGAACGAATTGATGCACTAGAGGCACAACTCAACAAACTCCTGCACATCCTCGCAGAGAGAGGTGTGGACATACTTGCACCTGTTTCTTCTCAAGGTTCGCTGTGGTTTCTTCTTCCTTTATCGTTTGTGCTAGTGCCTCTTGATCATATCCCAAGTCCATCCATACACTTTGGGTCAACTCTAAAGCGGACCTACTAAAGGCGGGATTATGTAAACACTTTCTCCTCTTAAAACTAGGGTCTTGTAGGCCTCACGAGAAAGGAAACATTTTTGCCGTTTAGGGTAGCAAAAGCATAAAGAAGCCATCACAACTATCTTCACTCATGAACTATTGCGCCCTGTTGCCGGTCCAAGGATAGGCGTGAGAGTCCCAACTTCTAGGGAATGCTAGTTATTTGAAATTAAACGTCATCTGGTGTGGTTCGATAACAAAAACAAAATGTACGGATTCGTTAGCACTGCAAAACTTTCACCTAAACCAATAACAAATGTGTGGTGGTAATTAATGGTTGATGTTACCATTTTCTTCTTTCAGATTTGATCTCTACCACTACCTCCTCCGCAGTTCCACACTTCCGCAAACCCCATTCTCACTCCTCCTCTTCCACTCCAAGCGTCGATCTTCAATCCATTCTTTGGTCCGCCTTTTTCCAGTCACCTGCCACTGCTGGTCCTAGCAACAGCCTTTCCACGCCTTCAAAACGTGTCTTTGGGCCGTCTTCAACCTCCATTGCTGACCTTACTAATCGAGGCGATAATGATACACGAGGTGACAGTGAGCCCTATAACACAACTGTGTTATCGATGTTTGGACGCACATCAACACCACCTGGATCAGTGAGGCCGGGTTCCTCTGGAGCACATCTCTCGCCTCCAGCATCCCTCTTCTTCCGTCGCAGGCGACTGAGGGGACAGGAGGCGATAACTGATGTGAATGGACCGGTGACACACCCACCTGGCCTTGGAAGCATCTGGAAGTTCATATTCGTTGTGGTGTCGCAGCATTTGCGAAACTTTCTGTTCTCTGAGGTGGGTTCCTGGTGTTTTGACGTGTACCTAGTCGTCCATTTATCTCCACATTCTGCCGAGTTCTGTCCTCATAACTGGTGGCCTGTCTGTATCTCTGCTGACTAACCTACCCGCTCTTCCATTTGCGCAGACCCTTCGATTATGGCTTCTCCACCTCTGCCTCGCAGTGTTGACACAAACCTTCGTTTATGCGATCTTTCTGCGCAACGTTCTGCGTCGCTGTCCTCCACTTTCGCCTCTTATTCTTTCTCCATCCTCCTGTAAAATATGCTCCAGTCTTCCTACAATAGAGGTGAATTTATTTTGTCTGATCCATAGTCATTGTAGGAGGTTTGTGGTTGATTGTCCCCAGTATTTTAATCTCCCCTGCCTTAAAAGGAATCTCGGCTTACTCATCCCATGTTTTTTTCTTCTCGTCTCTACCTTTCCTTCTATTCGTCCCCTTGTCAACTGATCTGTTCGTCTCCGTCAAATTACTTTCCTACTTCCATCCGACAGCTCCCATGTTTCAGCGGCTCTATGCTTTGTCTACTACTTGTAGGTGGTATCCAGTTTGTATTCCTACTGCCCGACTAATCAGGGGTGATTATGTGCTTACTCTTTGAATATTGAGGATGGGATGTGGCATTTTTGATCACTTCTGCAATTATCTAACAGTTGGTGGGTGGATTTTGTCGCCCTTCTCAATCAAATCTTTCCTAATCCATCAGCACCTCCCATCCTGATTGGTGTTGTCTTGCATTTTCGACATAGCGAATGTCATTCCACACCTTCCTATCGCTTAAAAAGTATGCATACTTTGCCTAGAGTACCCAACTTTGTGTTAGTACTTTTTTTCATTCATCCAATCTACGATTGCCTTGAGGTTAAAGCCACACGTGCACAAAGCGAAAGGGCATCCAAGATTGGCACACCTTCGTCTTCCCGCTTGTGCGGGGCCTATACCATCGTACCAGTTGTGTGTGTGTGTGTCTTTTTTAAGAAATGAATGAAAGAATTTGTCTTTTATCCTTATCCATCTCTCTGTGGTGTAGCTGTCGCAGTGCGTGGGATCCCTACTGCTTTCGTTCATTTCTACTGTGCTTTGTATGTGCGGTTGTGGGCTGCCGTTGGAAGGGTGCTCGGGCTGACACCCGGATGGATGGCCTGTACTGCCGTGGATTTATGATAACATCATCAACACAAGGCAATACCATAGAGTGGAGCAAAATTAAACTATTTGGCGATCTCATTGCCTCATTGTGGGTTGAGAAGGAAAAAGTGGCCCCCTCCTATCCTCTGTGTTCTTCTTTTAACTTGCCTCCTTCCTTTCTATTGGCATCAACCAATTACAAGTGGAGGGAAATGTATAACTAGTCTATAAAAGAGTATACAGCGACAGCATTTTAAAGTTGTGTTGACAGTTTGACTTTCAGAAGCAAATCATGCGAGCCATGCCGCTTTCAATCCTTGCCACAAAGGCATTAGATGTTTTTTGAAGTTTCTTTTTGAAAAACAGACTGCCTGCCATCTTGTGGCACTGTAGACGCCCAACGGATAGGGTTTGAGCAATTGAGCATGGACATGGTGCTCTCAAGTCCAATGTGGAGGCCTGTTTTTTTGTCAAGTGCATGCGAAGGATACACGTTGAGGCGTTGGCACTCATCCCATCACCTTGACGAGTTCAACTGGTGGTGGTGTTGGCGTCCATTCTTTTCCATTACTAAGCGAATCGGGCGCAGTGTTGATCTATCGTGTCTTAAATGACACGGAGCCCTGAACAGCGTTTACAAGGCATATGAGGCGGCAAGTTCCCCTTAGGTTTAGATATTGCGGTGTAGTTTTCTATTTCCTTTGCTCTTTGATAATCTCTCCACTTTGCGTGAACTGGTTTACTGCTCTAACTGTTTGTCCCCACTTTCCCAAAAAGACTGCAAATTACCAAAGGGTGGAGGAAGGTGCAGGTGGTTGTGAAGACGGGAAGAAGTCGATCCAGTTAAAATCGCGTTCATGTTCGACTTCTGCGTCGTTGGCAATGGCTGAGGAGTCTCGCACACCCTCGTTGCCACCCCTCTCAATCACTGTTGAGCATGATGTGCCAGCAGAATCATCCGAGGCTGCTCCTGTCAGTAAGTACTCACATTTCTTTGTTTTAATTTACTGCTGTAGGCTAGGACCGTCAAAATGGCTCAATTTCCGACATATCTAGATATTTTGTGTTGGTCTACCACTGGTGTCGTCAGTTAGTAAAGAAATATGCTGACAAATTTTGACCATCAATCTTTTCCCATCTGTGCCATGCAAACATCAGTCAATAGGAATCGACCTTACTTTTGCACTCTACACGTTTTGCCTGTTGATGAGCCTCTAAATGAAATTCCACTCTGATTTTGAATCCTGCGCATGTGGTTTTTATTTGTTGCATCCACTTTGCCTCTAATTTTTGACAGGATCATCCTTAAGGGAAGACTTAAATCCCGTTAGTCGGCAAAGAAGGCCTTCGGAAGAGGTGGATGAGGAATTTGAAGCTGCCTTTAATCAAGTTACACCTGTAAGTCGAACTTCTTTACACTGAGTTCGTAGAATTGGCTTCTCATGGTCCACTTGTGTCTGCTTGCGGCTAACTTTCACGCTTGCGTCTTCCAAACCCTTCCTGGGCTAGAAATAAATACACCCACTCTCCACCTTTCACCGGAAGTGCTCTTACATCGCGCCTCAATTGTAAGATGAATGGGAATAGACGAACGAGTGTGTGTGTGTGTGTGTGGCATGCGTTATTCATTAAACCCTCACTCGTTCGGTGCTTGTACAGTAGCAAGTCCTCACCATCGTTGTTATCTGCGCCTCTCGTCTTGAATGGAATCTTCGACGCGTCACATAGTTCATTTCTGACCGTCATTGTCATCATGCAACTCACAACGATCCTCCTACTGCACGACCTGATCGGGTAGATAGGCAGATGAGGGATGGATGTCAATCTTATTTAGTGTGCGCGATTGGTTGATTTTTACTTTGCCTTGGATTTTAGCACTACTACTACTACCCTCCCTATTACCATTGCCCCTATCACTGTCGGCACCAACAACAGCAACAACACTACCACTCCAATCACCCATCACTCTTCCACTGGCAACACCTATTCAGCAGCTAAACCCGCAGGGTATGTTCAGCATCCCCTTTGTTTGAAGCCATTAACAGCATAAAATGCCTTTCCTTCGCTTTCACCTGCCTTTTACTTCGCCTTCCCTCTCTTACTGCATGCTTCTGTCGACATCCAAACTAATTCCTCCTTCATTTTTCCCCTTTTAAGACACTTGTTCCAGAGGCGGATCGTGGTCGTGCCATTCAACAACCGACAAAAGCGGAAGAGAGGAAGCGTAGAAATTGGCGAAAGAAGCAGAAGCGGAAGCAAAGGAGGGAGACGACCTTCACAACGCCAAATTTATCCACGGTGTTTTAATTTATGATGCACTCACATGTCGACCGTTTTCTGCCTTCTCCCCTCCACCTTGTGTCTACCTCTCGTATCTCTATTTCATCTCACCTCCCTGTGTGTGTTGGAGCATGGTTTTGGTTTTAGAAATCTTATTTTTGTAGTCACATGTTCTTCTTAACTGTGTCGTCTGACCACACAGTGGTCGTGGCAATATGTGCAGAATGAAACGTGACAAGTTAGTGGCTCACGTCTGTCTGAAGTGTGCAGGACGGGGGAGGAGGAAAGAGAGCTAAGGTAGGGTCTGAAAGCTGGTGAATACGCCCACATCTAGGTGGTACGTTATCTATTTTTCAGTGGACATCGCAATTGCTGATGTTTGATAAGTCAGGCGCCTGCGTGATGTGTTTATTTAAAATGCCTTGGATAATTGTGTTGAGTGGTTATTCGAAAGAGTCAAGTTCTTTCGCAATGATGGTGGTTTGGTGAGCTGGGTTCTAGTCTTTTTGAGAAGACGGTCAGAAGCATTAAATGTCGTTTATGCGGCGACGCTTCGTCCGCCCACCTTCTGCAGACGTCTTGCTGGGCATGTGGACGTGGAGGTGTTGGACGACTGACAAGTAGGGCGGTGGCATTGTGCATTGGTCTACGCTAAGCAGTGCGTGATTTCATGACAAGATTAAGCCCTTGGTGAATGCTCATTTCCTGTGGTATTTGAATTCGTACCTATCCTGTTATCCGATTGGCTGGATTTCAAGGTCGCGGTAGTGAGCTAAGATCGAGCTGCCCCATCCTTCCAACAGTTTAGGCTTGCTCAACTGCGAAAATCATTTTTTTTCCTACACCAAATTAACACTTATCATCACGTCGGGGACTCCAGTTGGATTGATCAACTCCCTTGATGGCCATAACTTACATAAGAATTGATAATCGTTCACCAGCATTGTCGTTCCCAAAGCAATTGCATCCTCTGGTTTACTCACAAAAGAATTAGAGAGAATAACTTCGCCAAGAAGTAATGGCTGAGCCCAGAAGGAATGGCAAGACTATTAAGGAAATCCTTACATTGATGCACAACCCAACTCATTTTCTTCCTCGGATTAGGATTCATAATAATAATAATAATAATAATAATAATAATAATAATAATTCACTATTCTGAGATGGCTCTAATAGTTGACTGCTAAACCAGTCAATGTGGCATGAGTTGGTTGAAAGGCAGGGATGCAAATCCCCATTCCGCTTTTTCCATTCTTAAGCACATTCTATTACCAGAATTTAAAAATAACCTCAATGGCCATTGAGATAAGTGATTTGGGGCCAATCATCTCAATACTGATGACAGATCTGAGTATTTTGTGGAGAGATTAAACGCCTGAAGAAGACGGTTGGTAGCATTATCACACCTTTGCAGTGGCACTACAGGGAGAATGGTTTTTGGGACAGGTGTAGAATTTTTTTCAGTATTAGAAGGCGCCCTCATGTAATCGCTCATATTGCAGCTGCATTGACGTAACGACGCCATCAAAAGCGAGTCCAAATGTGGATTCGCTTTAAGTGACGCATTGATGGTCATAAAAGTACGGGCGACGTGGAATTGGTTACGATATGCGCCTTAACTCTTGCCTATCAGCTTTTCAGGCAATCAATGATGCGTCGTTGATCGTGTCACCTCGTGCCTGCTTCCATAAAACGGGATCGAGACCAGTGCGAATATGCTAATAGTCACCACAAGCCATATTTTCATCTTTATCAATTAGACAAAGTGGGATCTTAGTAGCGGAAAACGAAATAAAATGTACGTGTCTGGCAATAAGCACTTACTCTTGAGGCATGGTGTTTTTTTTTAGTTGCGGAAATCTTTTTATCCTCTATTATGTGACTTGGACTAATTGGAGGGAGTTAGTGGTACCACGATTGAAGGCGCGTCCTCATGCACGCTTTCCACCAAATACTATCGAGCGCCTAAATTCACAACAATTGCCTTAGCGAGCAATAAAAACGGAATGGGCGCCTAGCCATACAAAACTGCCGTGCCTCATCCCTTCTCCGCCTATCGCACGAGGGCTTTGGCCCGCCAGAGAAATGACTATCTTCCCTTCAAATGTGTCAAAATTAGGCATTCCACTTGTTGCAGACATCAACAGTACGCACTGGTTTGGTATTTTATAGTGCTACGCTTTGGCGCATTAGCACTTCAGATTTGCAACACATTTGTAGGTGGTATGTTTTGCAACTGTGACGTGGGAGCAAACATTAATTGTTTAACTGCGTTAAGTTGAAAAAAGGGTCTTTTAAAAATTTGCACCAGAGGTGGATAAAATGTTTTCAATCCGAGATACGTAAACCAAAAAAGGAAACATACCAATCTTCATCCACCCATTTTTGCATTAACATTTTACAATTACCTCGATGCAATAAATTAACAAAGTCTTGATTGAGTAAACAATGCCTCCAGAAATATGACTGGCGTTCAGCCTTTCGTTTGCAACCAACCCACACACTGTGGTAAAGCTTTACGGGTGATTCATTCAAAGGGAATTAGTGGTTCATTTGCATGTATTTAGGCACAATTTTTGTTAAATTAATAGGGTTTAGCACATGCTTAACAAGTGTTAAAATAATTGCTCTTGTTAAAGGTTGACAGATTTGAACATCGTTACCGCCAGGGGTAGCATGTAATGCTTTGTTTAGGAGACTATCTAATGATTTGCGGTCACTTTGGATTTTGTGTGACACTTGTACTCGTGGGCTGACCTTTGGGTCATGCTCAGGCCTATTTGCTTTGTTCTCTTTGGAATACATGTATCCAGCCTCACTCACTACTCTCTTCCACACTATAAAGTATCGGGACGCTACATGGTGTGTATTTTGCTAATGGTGTAGTAGAAGGTCTCAGTTTTATGATCAGTTCCTTAAGATCCTCAAAAGATATTTGTCTTAAATGGCTTCATTTTGCCTTCTTAAAGGTTTATACAAATGATCGAGAGTGCGCGAGAAGCCAATGGAAACCGAACACCCCTCCCACGCTCTCCCCAACCAAAGTGTGCAAACAGAATGCAATACTTTGTTTATGTGATCACCTAGTGTCTGGCGGTCGCTTAAAGAATTGTCTGGACCTTGTATGCGTGAGCTGGCCCACCAGTCATGCTCAGGCTCAATAACTTAATTCTCCTCGGAATACATGTATTCAGCTATATTTACTGCTTCTTCTACCCGGGGAGAAATCCTGGGACGTTACACAGAATTCTTGCATCCAAACACACTTGGCAAAGAAAACATATAGTATGAATTTAGACCGGTACAAAAAAGTATCCACTGAAATTCTCAGTCATTCTTAAGAATAATAATGTAAAGTTGGATATAGCGTCTCGAGACTTCCAACCGAGTGGAGGAAGACAGTAAGTGAGGCTGGATATATGTATTACGAAGACGACAGGACATCTGTGTCTGAGCATGGCCCGAAGACCAGCCCACATGTACAAGGGCCAGACAAATTCGAAAGTGACCGCCATACACCATGTGGTCACATAAACAAAGCATTACACTGCCTCTCTGTTCTTTTGCGCGACGTCCTCGGCACTCCACTTGGTACACCTCCCGCACCTGCCATCACAACATATTCCGTACTATATGAAGGTACATGTAATATATTCTAGCTTGCTTAAGTGAACTTTTATAGATGCGAGGAGGGAACCAATTGGGAACGTAGATCGCCTGCGTGAAGTGGGCGAGGAGCCTCCCTCCAATTGATATCTCCTACTCACCTCATCTGTATCCTATTCCCCACCATTCCTAACAGCGATGCCTAATAAATCGTCTGCAACCAACTTCCTCTTAAAGTCTGAGAACCAAGGACCAGAGGATGGATAGGCAGTAACTACAGTGCCTAAAAGCCAAACGCGCCAGTCGACAGGCAACACGAGACTGAGGAACCGTATCTGGTCTCATCGGCAGTTTCAACTGCATCTGGAGTTGCGTTCGGTCTGACAACCGGATTCGGAGCCTCATACACCCGTTGACCATCAATTGCTTCAAGGCAGAGACGGTGTAACTCTGGTCTACAACATATATGTTACAGGGAAAACGGGATAAGCCACTTTCCCGTATGTATGGGTTACCGTAGTGTCATTTCCGACATGTATACACGGATTTTATAGGGGAAATTCCAAAGCGAGACATTTCCAGATGGTTCATGGCGGTGTCGCTTCAGTTGTTAAAAGTTTGTCTTTGGAGCGCGGTAATAATGTGAAGCCAAATACAAACGTTAGTGTGGACCCTTTCATGGTGAGAGGTTCAGAGATTCTCCGTAAACGAAATAAATGCGCTTCCTCCTCATCGTGGGTGTACGCAGGAACCGATACGTGCTAGGAGAGAAATCATTGGAAAACTGTTCGATTCTCCTTCCGCTGCTACCATTGTAGCGTCCTGAGACTTCCCACCGGATAAAAGAAGGCAGTAAGTGAGGCCGGATGCATGTGCTCAAAGTCGGCAGGACAAATGAGTCTGAGCATAGCCTAAAGACAGGCCTACACGTACAAGGGCCTGTAGCGTTCCGAGGCCTCCTGGGCGGTATAAGAAGTCAGTAAGTGTAGTTTTTGCAATCCAGACTAGTAGAGTGACTATGTTCCATTTAAAATATACCAACTTCTACTCCAGACGTGATCCAAACGCAATGCCGCGGCTTTCTAAAATATAATATAGATGTCAAGTAACAACTTCGGCAACGTTTTTTGAAAAAAATACAATTAATAATCCTTTTTAAGAATAAATTGGCATTTTTCTACAATTATATATCTATATTATCAACGGTGGCATGATCTTGACATTATTTGCGAGCACATTAGGTGTCAAGGTAAGCATGTTGGCAGCTCAAGGTTATCTGTGGTTTGTTAGTGTTATTTGGCAGCTTAGGGATGTCAGAACCGGAGTCGGTGGATATTGCTACGTTACCCTTACCACAAATCCAAGAGATAGCAAAGCAATTCGAGCAGAAGATTCAATACATTAGTGCCTCTCTACAGCAGCTCAGAATGCTTCAGGGCCAGTTTGCTTCATCTAGGGATTGCTTGAAACATTTCAATGCGGAGAACAAGGATAAAAATACACTGATTCCCCTCACTTCTACTCTTTGTGTTCCTGGGAAGTTCGTCAACCCGACTCGAGTGCTTGTGGATATTGGAACCGGCTATTTTGTGGAAATGGTATGTGAATTCTTTTGTTAATGATATCTGCTTATAGGAAGTAGATGATGCTAATAAGCACTTTACCAATAGGATAGAGTTTATTGAAAAGCAAATAGAGAAGGTTGCTCCTGTTTTGGCACAGAAAACGCAAGAACATAGGGCTATTGTGAGTGTACTTGAGGCCAAGGCAAAGGCGTTTATGAAGGCACAAGGAATGAAACAGACATCTTAATTCTCCAATTTGTTAATAAAGTGACCTTTTGAGATGAGAGGCAAAGTGTTTTTTACTGTTGTACACTGTTATTTTATAAGTGAATATTTTTTTTCAACCAATCGGTAAGCTGCTCTCAGGTGTTCCCATTCTTATAGATTATTTTTATCTACGCCACCAGGGTCAGTAGTAAACATGATGTTAGCCGTTATTTTGTAAGAACAGCATGCTATGTGAATTGAGAAGGGAATAAATTTGTTACGGTGAATGACGTGAAACCAACTATTGGAGTAAAATATAACTCCCTTGTTCAACGTTGTCCAGTGTAGTGTTAATCCTATTTCTTGTATTGCCTTAGCAGTGAAATTCGAAATTGTAGGTGAAACTCGTGAGGTACGCGTGAGTTTTCGTTTGTACTGTTACTACACTCTTCTGGACTTTAGCCTCCCGTTCTTGGTGTGATCGGAGTCGTTTACGATCTTGAGGCGCATAATTTTCTTATTTCTCTGTGTAACATTAATGCTTAGTATTTGTAATTTTCTAACCACGTTTTTATTTTGGCATGACTTCATTACGTGTTGTAAGTGTTGGAGTAAGGTAACTCATTCATTTTCGTTTTCAACCAATTAGATTCGGTCTTGGTAGTATGGCTGTTCTACAACTCTAGGATAGTTTATTCACTTCGGGTTCAGTTACGCGGGCGCCTAAGCCTTCGTCATTGTACTTTACTTGTTGACATGTCCTTTGGGTCTTGCTACCAGTTTTTCGGCTCTTCGGGAAACTCAGAGCACTGAATTCATGTTATTTTGAAGTAAACTCTTATTTGTAAAACTGGTTTTTAAAAGTTGAGATGAAGAAAAATGGAGATGTTTTGGAACTGAATGCTTTCGAATGGCGTCTTTCTGTGAGATTGTTGCCTATAACTGAATTGACATCAACTGATAAAAATTGTTGTAGAGTCATATATGACACATGTTTAAAGATGATAATGGTGTTAACAGACGCCGCTTCCTTTCTTTCCCGCTAGCCCAACGAATCTCGTGCACTTTCTTAGTAATGAAGTGAAGTAGAGTGGTTTGGAGGGATCGACACTAAGCACTCATTCCAACTAACTATACCATATTTTCTGCTTTCAAAACGACCTTTCCATGATTTAAAGAGAACATTTGACTCGTGCGATGAAGTGTATCGCAACTCCCGATGTGTTAGGCTGACAAAAGCGTGGATCGAGGGAAGAGCTTAACAGGCGAAGGGGGGCCTGTACTGCCTGGGTTGTTTGCTTAAGCATAAACTTAAAGGTTCATCTTGGTACCTTTTTTCTCGTCATGTCCTCAGGACTTTCCCATTCGTCTCTACTCTATAAAAACTTCAAGGCCCTGTTGCTTGCTGTTACTACTGTAGGCGTTACTTAATTAAAATAAGTACAACTCTCTGTCTGATGCTAAATTGTGTAAACTAAAGTGGATTTGGTGCGCCACATCAAGTTGGGATTGCTGACTAGATTCGCTTGCTGTATCCCGTCTGCGTGTTTCTGCTACCTGATGGGTCTGTATGATACCGCTGTATGTTGATTGATAGTCTAAAAGACTCAACTGTTCCAACCCAAAGTTTAATTTTTCAATTATTATCCCGGTTCCTGGAAAGTAATTTTTTGAGTTTCATAAGTTGGTGAAGTAGTCGCGTGTCCGTTCTCTCTACAAGTTGAACGCGTCATGGATGAAGCTGGAAGAAACATTGGGTGCGGTACACGATGCAATGTCCATTTGCATACCATAAGGAAGATGGGAGTATGAATTTCCATTTTCCTATTCGATATTTTATCTTCGATGCACCGTTTCTTGGACTGGGAGCCTAGCCTTAACCATATGATAGTCTTTGCACAGGGAATGTCACTTCACTAGCGGGTTTGCGCAGCCAGCATACATTACGAGTCCTAAGGTAAGAATCAGTTCTAGCTGTGATAGGTGGACTTGAAATTGCAGCGAGACTACGCACCCTTAATGGGTGGTGCTGTTGCAAAATCGGTAACCCTTACGGCTGCATTTCAGAAAATGAATATTGAAGGTATGTTCTTTTAAAGAAAAGGGTAGGAAACTCTTAGTGGTTGTGATTTGCCGTTGACATTTTTTTGGCCTCTCGTCCTCACGACGGAGGTAGGGTGCCACACCGATCAACTTTTTCATTGGTGGTACATGACTTGAGCAAACGTTTATAAACATGTATTTCTCTCCAGTGAAACAAGACTCAGTTCATGAAGGATGCACCAGTGATGACGCCACTAATATAGGTTACCGACTGCCTTGGCATGTGGTGGTCATCAACCCTTCTTGGCGCAACCACAAGACACTTGTGTGGCGCCTAGCTACATGCACTTCTGTCTATCTTGCATTATTCATGTTTGCCCTGTAAATAGCTCCCGATAATCTCAGAAACAGAAGCAGAAATTTTCAGTCAATCCTCTTCTCCCGAAAAGCCTACCATATTTATGACATTGAATGTTACCGAGAGCTCATTCCCTCAGAAGAGGTCATCTCTCACTGCGGTGAGGTGCGATAAGGCCAAGGCCTGAAATGCCTGAAATGGTTACAAGAGAAGGAAAGGAGAGACATTTTTGGAAACTGCTTCCGTACTTTATGACCCATCCACTGCCTATAGCACTTCAATTGTAGGCGAGGTGAGCGGAACATGGTCATCCGACAGAACCTCGTAAGGTACAATTAAACTTTCTCATTAGAAAAGGGATTTCGAGATTTGTATTCTAGAGCTCTATGTTTGCAAAATCCCTTACTTTTACGTTTCATCATCAAAAATAGAATAGTCTGTTTTTATAATCGACCTTGAGAGGTCGGTGTTGCCCTGCCGTGGCCGGATATGAGCACCATTTAATTTATTCAGCAACTACAGCTAATAAAAGGTAAAAGCTGTCAAATCATTGATTTGACACAGAGGAGCCATCATCGCCAAGGCAGCCTTTGATTGGCTAATTCGGCGCTGTGATTGTGATGAATCTCTCGAGCAAATCGTCACTTCCCCATCTCTGAAAGGGGAGATTTAAGTGATACGTTCCAATTCCGCATGTGTACTCCCGAGGTGCTGCATTGGATTACATAAGATAGGTGGGGATCTATTTAAGATTGGTGACTGTGAGAAGCCCACTTTACTCTTGTAGATTGAGTGAGGTGCGTAGCAGTTCTCTCCAAGGTGTCGGCATTGAAGCCATTGAGATTAGGGGGAGTTTTGCATCGCAATTACTGCGTAACATACTATAACGGCCCCAGAGATATGTTGAATCCCGGAATCGATTTTTGGCGGCTTACAGCTCTTCCTGTCAGTTGTAGAAACAGGCTAGTTGACTCTTCTTAAGTAGTAGAAAAACAGGGCGCAGCACTTTTTTGGCTCTGCTCCGTATTCACTCATGCACTCACCTCTTCTTTGTATCAACACTACCTTGCACTGCCTTGTTGTTGTTTTTGTTGTTGTTGTTTTGTTCTTACCATACTTTTTATTAAAGAAGGCATTTTAAAGATGGATTTCATTGTGTACTGCATTTTAAGGTGGAACACATTTTAAGGCTATCCAACGAGTGCTGGACTGCTCGAATTTGATTGGTCGGTGGGGCCTTCGAAATCCACCCCCCCACCTTCGACTAGTCATCGCTGGCTTCCTTACCTAGCTCACCTGGGCAACTGTATTTGGCTGGCCAGCAGGGTAGATGAAATGAGGTGAAGTTAGACGGTTTAACCTATGGGTGGATACGTTCACAATTTTTGAATAGCTATCTCAATAAGCCTACTTAGATTGTGGCAGACTAGTTTGTCAAATCTCCAACAATGAACATTCTAACCAGCTCGCGGTTTTTATGCCTCTTAAATGCGCTGGTTATCTTGTGAAGGTTGATGCACTATTTCAAATTCATGCATTATGATGACTTCTCGAAAAGACGTGTTTGGAATATACAATCTGTGGCCGGTGAGTCATTGGCACAGTGTCGCTCTACGGCGCTATACGGTTTTGCTGGGTCGCAACTGTGGCACGATGTATTCCGCAACTCTCGCGATGATGTGATTTCGTTTTTATAGAAAAAAATTTTCGTACTTGACCGAACGGTACAAGCCAAAAAAAGATTTAATCACCTCTTTTGAAAATGAACACTTGCCCAGACTCCTTTAAATGAAAAGAGCGTTAAATTTTTCAATCATCTGATCTGCATTGTCCCACTTTTGCCGAGTCATGAATCAGCCTTCTTCCTCCGGAAGGCGTCGGTGGAGGCGCCATAGATGGCCTTGAGATGCCCAATGGCGGCGTAGCGTGAGCTGTGAATGCTGGCTACGTGACTTGCGCACGACGTCAAGCCAGCGGTCTGTGACAAGCTTATTTACAGAAATAGCATAGCTAGCAAATGGAACTAACTTCTGGAAGTACAGGAGAAAATTAGAGGAAGTGCACTTTCCAGTTCTTATCTGAGTCTAATCAATTTCAATCAGCCCTTGTCATTGACAAATCGTGGGTCCTTTGCACACCACACTTCGTCGCGTGTAGCTTTGAGTTATGCAGCCAAGAACGAAGACTTGGCGACTAGCGTCACGAGAGTAGCGAGGAAATGATTTACCGATTTCAACTATCTACATCAACGAAACCAGGCCTTGTTGAGAATAGGACGTCTTTGAAATGTAGGAACTAGAGTAGGTAGGTGGGTACAGGGCAGAGATAGAGGTACTTATGAGGCAAGAGAAGTGACTTCCTCTATCACCTTATGGGTGATGGGCACACGTCCGGCAATCACAGAATTAGGCTGTTAAATTGAAGGCATATTAAATCAACACGAGGACTGTCAACGCAGTGTACAATCCGGTGCACCCATATGGCTTTCCTGATTCAAACTCAACACTTACTCCACAGGCACATGTCAATTCCTCTCTTTCTTATGAGTGGGTCCGCCCCCTCTGTCTCCCATCTCAGCAACATTCAACGCGAGTGAATAATCGCACAGACCACCGAATCAAGCCGTATTTGTCTCCGCTCATAGGAACGAGCCTTGAGAAAAAGCTAACAGCACCTCGAAGTGGTAACAGTATGGACAATAGAATCGTGTAGACGACTTCAATCTTCCGAGGCCACTCCTATAAGACTCATCGACAACGTGTGCAAGGGTATCAGCGCGCTATATGCTCCAAAACGTAACCACAAAAACAGGAAAGGCAAAAAAAGAGGGTAACAGTTATTGTAGCCTCTAACCAAAAATGCCAACATTCAAAGAGAAAGCATGGGAAAGGGAATTAAAAGGAGACGAAGGATAAGGGAAATAATTTGTGCTAAGGAAGTTCAGAGAAGAGCAAGGACGGCAGAAAGAGAAGAGAAAGAGTATGAAGTACACATAATTGGATCAGTAACCTGCAAGTAGCGTTCTCTTCATCTTCTTGCATTAATGATGGTGACAAAGTCCGGTTTCAAGGAGGCTCCACCAACAAGGAATCCATCAACGTCGGGTTGAGCACCCAGGTCCTTGGCGTTGGAAGCAGTCACAGAGCCACCATAGAGGATTCTAACTCTGTCAGCGACTCCGGCGTCCACATGCTTGCGAATCCACTCACGAACAACCTTGTGGACCTCTTGAGCTTGAGCCGGCGTCGCCGTCTTGCCGGTACCAATTGCCCAAACGGGCTCATAAGCAATGACAACCTTATTCCAAGCTTCCTTTGATGGAACGTTTTCTGCAAAAAATGCACTTTATAAAAGCATGCCGAAGGGAGAACAAAGACGGTGAGAAAAGAACTGACTGGCAATAGCCTCCATTTGAGAAAAGCAGACATCGTTTGTTTTTCCAGCTTCGCGCTCCGAGAGCAGCTCACCAATGCAGGGGATAACGTTAAGACCAGAATCAAGAGCATGTTTTACCTTCTCCCCAACCAACTAAATGGCATATTTGGCTAAGAAACGCAATTGAGAAAACAAACCTCGTTAGACTCGCCGAAAATGTGACGACGCTCAGAATGACCAAGAATGACCCATTCACATCCACAATCTTTTATCATTTCAGAGCTAAAAATGTTAAAATTGTATATCACAGTCGTCAAACACCACGTTTTTAAACGAATGAATTCCTCAAATCGTTTACCTGATTTCCCCCGTAAATGCACCAGAGCTAACTTTATAGCAATTTTCAGCAGCTATCTTAATCCCTTTCGGAGCCTTCTCCTGAGCATACTTCAAGTAGCAGGCGGGAACACCAATAACAATATCTGAGGGATTCAGTTGCTATAGGAACAAATGGTTACCAGCGTTAGGATCAGTGTCAGCCTTTTTGAGAGTGTCGAAAAAGGAGTCTATGTGGCCATAACTGCCATTCATCTTCCAATTGCCACCAACAAACAGCTTACGTGCCATTCTGACTTATCAACTCAGATGTGAACAGAGAGGAGGAAGGCGCCAAGGTGGATTTCAGCGGTAAAGGGCCGTCCTTCGTGGAAGGAGTACATCGAAGAATTCTAACAAGTGGAGTTATTTTAATTTTGATTTACACAATGCATGCAAGCTGTCTGACTTCATTTTAAATGCAAAAATAAAGCATTTTCATTTAGTCTAGGAAAGGTAATTTATTATATTTTGCAAAATTAGCAAAGTTTTTATTTAAATATTATATATTTGACGCAAAGCTAAAGAAAAAGGGTACAAACAATTAAATTGTTTTGGTACTTTCATCAGATACAAGATGGCGTTAAGTTTGCCTAATTATATATATTCCAGGCCGAACAAATGGGTTAAGCCTGCGCATTATCCGAAGACCCATTTGGTACTGCATGGAAGTACTCACAAGCCACATACGCCAGTCATCAACTACCATACAACCGAAAAGCGGTATTTAATCTCTTCAGCGGCGCCTTCAATCGGACTTGGAGTTACGTTTGTTATGACTGCTGCTGGAACAGTTCTAAAACCGGTGTTTTGCAGGTTAAAACATGATCAGTCAGAGTCTCGCACACACGCGAACGTGGCGGGAAATTTCCGATACGAAAATTTTTGAGATGTTCATGGTAGTGTCACTTCACTTGTTCATAGCGTCTGTGGAACCCGGAAACAAGGGAAAGCCAAACACAGACTTCACCTCTAACAGTTTGTTGTAAAGAATTCAGAGTTTGTCCAGCCAACATGTAAACGCTCCTCTTGCACACCGTACGTATGTGACATAAACGGAGGATACTAGGATAGAAGTCATTCGAAACGTCATCGCTTTCCACCATAATCGTTGTAGTCACCCTTGAATTTCAAAAGGCAAATGAAGGTATTAAATTTGTTTGAAATGCTCACTCCAGAGTGTAGGAATGGATTAAGCTCGATGTTGTCTAGTTTACAATATTTGACGAATGTCTAAGTGACCGCCATGCATCATGTGGTCACATAGACATAGTGTTTCATCAATATTTAGCAAATATTTGGTTTAAAAAATATTTATTCACTGTTTCCAGTGGTCACAGCCGTAGTTACATGGTTTTGTCCGTTAAATAGTTTGCAGTTTCTTTCGGAGAGCATATTAATATTTGGTAGAATCAATACTTGCAATACTATGTCTATATATTCTCCTTCAATATACATCTGGTTCGTGTATGCATGAGCTGGCCTTACAGCCAAAATCAGTTTGAATCATTTATTCTCCGTAGAATATAGATTTAAGCCAACTAAATACCCTATTCTAGCTTGTGGAATGTTCCGGTACATTGCAATGTTAAAGAAATTTAGCGGTGGAATTCATTAGCTTGTCTTCCTACAAGTAATTTTCGACATGACTCGAAGGTTCTCTCTCCGACAAAGGAGGGAGTGCAGTAATCAGTGCAGATGCAAAGAACTTCGAGGCTGTCGGCGCCATTTATCAGCCCTTATTTGTCTGAAAACATGTGCATGCCTTAGCATCACTAATCTATTCACTTTTAAGGACTTGTGGTCGAGATACTGATCTAATCTCTATGTAAAATAGGTGGTACAGAAACTAGTATAATTCCGTGTACTGCGGGTATTGCCCAATTTCGCATCTTCTACACCTATGGACAATCGAGGCAGAGGACGACTTTAAAACTAAAAGTCTTAAATCCCTTGGAGATGTCATTGCGTTAAATGTCAATTGTTTACCGGTGGCACATGAATGTGAAGCAAATGGGGATCGTAGATGGCATTATTAACCCTTCCGTTCTGATTAACTTATGCATCTCATTCGCGTCACAAATCTCGTCATAAAATATGGAAGGAACAAATGCCATCCTGAGGTGATACGACTTTGGCTGCCACCAGTACAGCTTCTAACGCTCTGGAACGTTGATGTTGTACGAAGTCCATTCAACCATGCAGAAATGGATCGTGGTACGGTTGGTGCGCTACTTTTTAGCGAATTTTCTTACCACCACTTGAGGTTTGCCTAGAGAGTCCAGAGCGTAGATGAGCGAAACGTCAAAAGAGACTCTTATTTCACGACTCGTGAGCATCTTGAATGGTGAGACTCCAGACGAGGTGTGAGCAGAGGCTCGGTAGGCAAGAAGAGCCCGTCCTAGGTATAGATCCCAATCCTCGGGCTGCACCTCTTTGGTGAAGACCTTCAACAAGTCGACAAGAGCACGATTTGTTCTCCCCATTTGCCCATTGCCCTGAGGATGACCCGGCGTCGTACGCTTCTTACGGATTCCAAAGGCTTTGCACAGCTCTTTGAAGAGACAACTTTCAAAGTTCGCCACTTGGTCGTTATGCACGGACTCAGGCACGCCATGTTGGCAGATCGAGCGATTCAAGAATGCGGTTGTTACTGCCTCAGCATCTTGCGCCTGTGATGGCTCGGCTTCCGCGACCTTGGTGAAATAGTCTGCCATCATCAAAATATAACGTCGTGGGAAGCGGGTCTATGATGTCTAGCCTACGCGCTCCTCTGGAAAGCCCGTGGACATCGGCTGCAGAGGGGCTACCGCCGTGTGAGCTGAGTTCTTAAAGCTGGTGCACGTGATGCATGCGCGACAAAAGTCGGAGACATCCGACGTCAGCGAGGGCCACCAATGCCTCTTCCTTGCGACGTCGAGCACTTTCCTGTCCAACAGCGATGACTGCGCCAAAGAAACTGGTACCACGAGGCGTTTAGAACTGGCTGCACTATCGTCCTTCTTCCGCATGATATCGTCGTCTAAAGAGAATTTTTCCCAATTTTGCCATATTTGCTTGACTCTCTTGCTCGCCGAACTCATCTCTTCAACTGTAAGCTTGGCTGAGGATGTCCTTAGTCTTTCACAAACCAACGCTATATCGGTGTTTCTCCTCCAGTGATGGGAAGTAGGCTCGCTCAATAACAGCGCACCTACTGTGTTGCTATCTGTGGACGGTG